ACTTGCTGTCTTGGAATCAGCTGGCCCGGATATCCGGATGGCCAGCGGTCTGATTAATTGCTTCATAATGGCTTCCCGCTTGGACCGACTCCACCAGCTCAAGTATATGAGCCTGCTGGAACCTGCCCCGGCTCTCCTCCCCATATATCACGATCCATGACTCTATAAACGCACTATCCTCTTCTCAAACCCCCCTTTACTCCTACAATAGCTCCTTTCCTGAGACCTACCACCCATCATGCCCTCCACAAGTGACCTCGCCGACCCCAAAGAATACCAGAAGATCTTCCACTGGGCAGAGACACAGAAGGATGGCACCATTCCCTCCTTCGCTACCAGACGAAATGATCCGTATGAAGTAAGTGTTCTGTGCCGATGCCTATCCTCTGCTTACCGTCGCTAACTCAATCGTAACAGTACCAAGCCGGATTCGGCAACTCGTATGTCAAAGCGTTCTCCTGCATCTAGCGATTCAACTGGCTGATGTAGTTAATCTACTAGGTTCGCCTCCGAGGCTGTGCCTGGCACCCTTCCACAGGGCCAAAACAGCCCTCGTAATGTCCGCTTTGGTCTCTACGCTGAGCAGATGACGGCCACGGCCTTCATTGCCCCGAGGCATTGCAACAAGAAGGCATGGCTGTACCGTGCCCGTCCGGCGGTTGCCCACCAGGGATTCGTATGTTCTGCAGCTGTCATCTAGGGTTGCTACCTACTAACATTGACTATAGACCGACCTTCCCGATAACAAGGACACAGAATCCAACTTTCTCCCTCTGAACCCCCGCGTCCATGTCTCCCCTACCCAGCTTGCCTGGCACCCTTTTGACATTCCAGCCAATGGCGAAGTAGACTTTGTCTCTGGTCTGAAGACCGTGGCTGGCTCGGGCGAGCCAACCCTCCGGGAAGGCCTGGCCACCCACGTCTATACTGCTAACACCAGCATGACCAAGAAGGCTTTTGTCAACTCGGATGGTGAGATGGCCATCGTTCCCCAACAGGGTGCACTGGACATTCAGACCGAGTTTGGTCCCTTGTTCGTCCAGCCTGGAGAGATTGTCATTATCCAACGCGGCATCCGTTTCCGCGTAGAGCTTCCCGATGGGCCTTCTCGTGGTTACATCCTTGAAATCTGGGGTAGTCAATTCGAACTCCCTGAGCTAGGACCCTTGGGTGCCAACGGACTTGCCAATGCACGAGACTTTCTCTACCCCACGGCGAAGTATGAGATCTCCAAGGAGCCTTGGGAGATTGTGTACAAGCTGGGCGGAAAGTTCTTCAAGAGCACACAAAACCACAGTCCGTTTGACGTGGTTGCCTGGCATGGCAACTATGTATGCTACTCCCCTGTCCAGCTTGTTTCCAACCAAAAGTAGACTAATGGGTCATACAGGTGCCTTACAAGTACGACATGACCAAGTTCGTCAACGTCGGCTCCATCTCCGTTGATCATATGGACCCCTCCATCTTCTGCGTCCTTACAGCCAAGTCCCGGGATCCCACTGCTCCCTTGGCCGATCTACTCATCTTCTCTCCTCGCTGGGACGTCGCATCACGTATGTACCTTCCACAAACTGATATCACTTGACTCTCCCACCTCGCTAACAACAACAATAACAGACACCTACCGACCTCCATACTACCACCGCAACGCCGCCTCCGAACTAATGGGTCTCATCTACGGCGACTACGGCGGTCGTTCCGACGCCTTCCAACCCGGAAGTGTCTCCTTCGAATGTGGAAGTAAGCATCACCCCCATCCCGACCCAGATAGATCATCCATCTAACTCAATCATCAACAGTGGTCCCCCACGGCGTCGCCTACGAAGAATTCAAAGCCGCCACAGAAATCGACCCGCCAGCCATGCGGATCTCCGAAGCCTCAATGGCATTCATGTTCGAGTCAAGTCGCCCATTCACCATCACCGATTACGCCTGGACAAGCAACAAGCGCCACGAGCACGAGCCTAAGATGTGGGATAACCTCGTCGACAACTTCTCCAAGCACGAGAAGGAAGTCGAGGAGTTATTGGCCAAGAAGGCTCAGGGGATGAAGATCTAAATTTTGAATAGCAGATATATGCTTTGTTTTGTATTTGTTTTTTATTTTTTCTCCCTTGAGCTTAGCCATTGCTTTTCTGTGTGTGCGTGTCCTTGTTTATTATGCCTGTGATCTGTCATGATTGTATTACTAGATGTCTTGTCTGTACATATTTGAGACACTAGTCGCATATGCCAACATTACTCTTATTGTTTCTCTGAAGAATTGTGACGTGTGCATGACGTATAGTTTATTCAGGTACCATCATTTGTAGAATGCCATATCTACATAATTCACCAGTTCTTTGCATTCGTTGAGGGATTTAGAGAGAAGGGTTAGGAAGCTCACCGCTCAGAATAGAGGGGCAACAAAGTAGGACAACCACCAAATGCTCAGGTATGCCTAAAATCATGACAAATGGGTAGAAAATGATTAATGACTACGGTTGGTCTATCATATTGGGCTCGAAGCCCATAACGCATGTGTGGTGTATGTCTACCTGAGGCGCATACCGGTTTTCAGGCAGCGACACAGGGCATCACATCACCCCACCGGGTGGCAACAAGAAACCATAATGCACATTGTATGTATTATGACGGTACAGAAAAAACAGCAAGTCTCGGAACGTCTTTTATTTTCATGAATTGGTATCAACACGGTCAGAAATACGGACATACAATTATTTAGGCCAGACCGCCTTGGTTGTGTCTTTCTGTTGCCAAACGTCCCTGGAGCCCTTTCGAAGGGTCGGAGAACCTCAACTTGCCAGAGGTGAGCCGGTTATGTCTATCACAAAAATCAAATCACAGGAAGTAGTCGGGTGTGCGCCTCGAGACCATGGGTTCTCCTGCGCGCGGGCAGGGATCGAATTGTAAGCTGTAGATTGCGTCAGTAAATACTTTCTCCGATTGAAATGGTGGGGTCACCGCATACAAGGTATATTTCAGATGCTCGTCAATTTCCATAATTGCGGCTTGGTTACCGCAGCGGTAGCAGTAGTTAGGAGCTGGAGAGACATAGTTAGCCATGTCCGCCATATCACGCGTGACGTGAGCCAAATTCTGCAGTGCAGCATACCGGAGAAAATCGTGACCACATTTCTATCCTGGGACCAGTTGTAACCCTCCATTACCAGCTGGTGCGCCCGTGCCACCAGAGTCAAGCCATTGTTGTGATTAAATGCCTCCGAAATATCCTGCCCGAATGTGTATCCAGCACCACGGGGAGAGATACCCCAGCCGCATCGGTCGTCAGGGTCACTCCACAGAAGGTCACACATGGGACCCTCGTGCGGGACCTCCTGAATCCGATCCAGAGAGCGGATGTTGTCGAGGGTGTCGATCGACGGACTCAGACCGCCGTGCAGACAGAAGATCTGGTTCTCGATAAGTGCGGTGAGGGGGAGGTAGTCGAAAAGGTCGGTGAAGTATTTCCACACGTTAGCGTTGCCGTACTTGCGCAGGCACTCATCGTAGAAGCCGTAGACTTGCGTGATCTGGCGCGACTCGTGGTTTCCTCGCAGGATGGTGATACGCTGGGGGTAACGGATTTTGAGGCAGACAAGGAGCGTGACGGTCTCTACAGAGTAGTAACCACGGTCGACGTAGTCACCTAGTGGGCGGGCGGGTGAGCCAAGGGGGACGACTGGCATAAGCGGTAACACGCCAACTCACCCATAAACAGGTAGTTTGTATCCGGATTGGGGCCACCAATGCGGAACAGCTCCATCAAATCATGGAACTGACCGTGTATATCACCGCACACAGTCACTGGACATTTCTATAGATTGGGAAGAGTCAGTCCCGATCGGTCGCAACGGCCGCGGGGCCACGAGCAGGGCCGGGCAGCGCGGGAAGGCAGGCCACAACAACAACAATAGCAGAAAAGTCAATCACATACCACGGGCTGCACGTTCGACTCATCCTGCAGAACCTCTCTTGCCTATGTAGAAAAACACGACCACGATTAGGATTATTCATTCCCGAATACACCCAGAATTTCCAGCAGAAGCAGCACACACCCGATCACAAAGCCTCCGGACATCTTCCTCCGCTAGTTGCTTGCAGGTCATCAAGCTTTCGATCCATCCATCGAGGGTGGGTATGGACCCCGGGTCGGTGGTCGGGGAGAGGTGGTGAGGTTCGGGCGACCGCGCCGTATCGATCTCCATGTTATTGTCCATTGAAAGTGACCACCAAGAGCGAAGATGAGGGTGGTGGGGGGGAAAGAGAGCGAATTCAAGATGACTGCAACCGAGGGGGGTTGGTGGAGCGGGACCAACTGGAGAGGGGAGGTCTCGTGAGGGAGGGCGTGGATTTCTTAGAGGGGGGGGAACCAGGTCGGTCGGACGAGACACGGTGCACCAACGGAAATTGAACGACGGACCAAGAATGGGACAGCAAGCCCTGTCACCCACAGATTGAAGAAAGATAAGAGGGGCAAATAAGGGGGGTTTGAAATGTGGAGGGATTGGGGGGGGAAGGAAGAGATGAAGGGAAAAGGTTGGGGGGGAGGGGAATGACAAGAGAGAATAAGGAAAGGGAGGTGTGAGCTGGGATGGCGGTGGTCGCTGGTGGTGGCTGCTGCTGGTAGTGGTGGTGGTGGTCAGAGGTACAACTAGCAGTATGTTCTTTGCTGGTCGTGCGAAACTCGCCCAAAACTGGGCTTCCCAAGTCCGTGCGCCACACCGCCCGCCTTCCCCTTCCAGCTTGTGCATCAGCCACACTTACCCTGTTCTTATTCTTTTTTCGCCCTTTTCTTGCCCCAGAAATCATTACAGCTTTCTATGGTACCCGCCACAAAAAGCATTGGTGTGGAGGGGAACAGAAACAACAACAACAACAACAACACATTCATTGAATTTACTAATTGCACGAGATCAACCATATCAATTGTCTCATAACAGAATAACACTAATCTCAACATTCATATACATACAAAATCATATCATTACTCATTCTGTGTCATCACGTCGTGCACTAACTAGTTATGTACCGTGTAGTTTTCAAACAAACTTTGGTCTGCAAAAATTCCGCCCCCCCAAGCCTCAGCCGCCGCGCTTAAATGATGTCACCACCAAATCCCCCGAACCCTCCGCCAAACCCGCGTCCCCCATATGGCCCCTGTCCTCGTCCAAACGGTGCCCCTTGTCCGGGTCCTACCGGATCATACCGCGATCCTGGTGGTGCTTGAGGATCGTACCCTTGTCCACGAGGTCCACCAAACAGAGGATCATCGAACGTGGGGTGCATGCCACCACCGCCGCCACCTCCCAGCCCAGGGCCTATACCTCCTCGCAAAGGATCATTCGGGCCTAGTCCCGCTGGGTACAAATCTCGGTCTCCAATGTTCATCGGGTTTCTTCCTCCCATACCTCCCGGGTATCCTCGAGGCGGTCTCTGGATCTCGAACTCATCCTCGAATCCTGGTGGCGGAAAATCCCCAGCTGGGACGGGTCGTCGGGGAGGCACCGCCAGGGGGTCGTCAAATGGGTACGGGCGAGCGGGTTGGGGCATCGGATCGTCTCGTAGAGGATCATGGCGTGGAGGTCTTTCCAGAGTTCTTTCGCGCAACGTCTCCTGTGGCTGGTCGGAATCTTCGTAGCCTTCTTTATACAGTCCAGGCGCCAGCTTCTGGATGACGTTGATCTTGAATAATCCGATCAAGTCCTGAATACGAGAGGGAGATATAAATGCTTCGCGAAGTGCTGCTGGGAGATCCTCGGCGGTAGGGGGCAAGGGAAGCGCGGATTCGGAGACGTAGTCTTTCACCGGAAGATCGAAGGATGTCGTTCTGTCATCGCCCAAAGCCAAGGCGAAAATGACAGCATTATTTCCAAGTCGGCTGATCTTGAGCAGATATTGCATCGATGACTGTGAGTGGGCGTAGCGGAAAGCAAAGGCCGTGTTGGCGTTCCATTCTGCGGGGAGTGAGGGGCTACCGGATTGGTTCTCTGAGAGGTTGATAATCATCAGTAAGGCGTACTTTAAATACCTTGCAGTGTTCGCATCGCACGTACCTAGCGTATGGTCTTCCTCAAGTCCAACTAAGCGGAAGCCGACTGCTGTCATGGACGCATGGCCGACTAGAGCGATCGCCTCGTACGGCGTCTTGAGGCTAGGCGGCGCGGCCCCATCTGCGCGAAGAGCTGTTGCGGCGATCGCCAACACACTGTCCGAGCTTAAGGAACCAGTGCTTTCAGCCATCTTGATGGATGACAAAGATGATTTCTGGAAAGGAGAAGGAGTGAGATGTGAGTGTGAAAATGTCTGTATTTAAGAGGGGACTTGAGGGCGCTTACGACTTCATTGCAGCCTGCGGAGAACCTCGTAATCTATGATTAGTCAGGATCGCGCCTTCCCAGATAGAATTAACACCCACCATCTACTATACTACAATCAGTTTTATCATTTCACATATTAATTAATTGGTCATAGTACATCTAGAATACAACTACTACTAGCTCTTGACCTACTGAACGCTTTGGTAAGTCACTGAATGTCATAATAGACTTGGCCGGAGTTGTCTAGTGATCATTCTAGTTAGTTGTTACTGTACATATATATTTCACTGCACATGCATACTACTATGAACTGATTCAATCAACCACTGTTAGTTTGAACCCTGATTAGATACTATCATACCATGCATTTACTCCTTATTAGAGTATTGCTTATAAGCATGACAGATTACAGAACATGCTCGTACGAGGATCTGCCGATGATACTATAGGGGGGTAGCACCCGATTACGTTAGCCGACAAGGCTGCTTGGGGTGACACAAGAGAGTGATTATGACATCCACCAAAGCAGTGAACCTACTACTCGCTTCTCTCTTTGAGAATCTCATGCTTGACATAGAGAAGGGACGATCGGACAGCTGCGACAAAAAATATTGCTTGAGCTATTTAAAGACTTACAACTTCAACTTTATCACAAAACCCAAACAACTCTCCGAGCATGTCTCAAAGTCCGATAACCTTACTTCCTGCAGGAACCTGTGCCATAAGCCGACTGCTATTGGTGGCGGCATCTATCAATTCCTCGAACCCATTTCAGAAGTACGAACGCTTATCTAAATGCTTATGATGGACAGACGATGATAGCACGACCTCGAGGATCAGATTGGTTCAATGACCTTTGTGTACAATCAAATCTTATGCGAAAGGCAAATGACCAATACCCGATGACTATAAACTATGCCCTGTCCCGCAGGGCCTTCGATTAAGAATGCAATATCTACAACATCGCCTTGGGGAACTTCTTCATCGCCTGACGAACTCCCAGATCGGCCAGAATCTCCTCCGTGCCACCCAAGATGGCATCAAACTTGTATGTCCGATGGAACATCTCAATGACCTTACCCATGCCGGACTGGGTCAAACCCCGTCCACCAAAGATGTTGGTCGCAAGGTCTGCGATCTCCTGTGCGGAGCGGGTAGCATGAGACTTCAGCAGGCCGATGGGACCACCCAGATTAGCCGACTGCTGCGCATAGGTCATGTTGCACATCTGGTATGCAATAGATTCCAGCCAGGCCTGGTTCGATTCGCAAAGTGAGATCATTCGGGCAAGTCTGAGATATGTTAGCCTGTTAGAGACCCATCAACAACGTCGGAAACTTACTTCTGCCGCATAACAGGCTGCTCAATCAGCTTCTTGCCAAAGACGATGCGTTGATTACACCACTTCATGCACTCCTCCACAACCGTCATGCACATGCGGATCACACTGCAACACATCATGAAGCGCTCGTGGTTGAAGTTGCTCATAATCACAATGAAACCCTTATCCTCCTCACCCAGAAGGTTCTCCACAGGGACCTTGACGTTCTCGAACTGAACAAACGCGGTGGCAGCAGCTGTCGAGTAGGAGGTCTTGATCTGCTTAGTCTCGACTCCTTCGTCGCGGGGAATCAGGAGCACCGAGAAACCCTTTTCGGTTCGGCAGCCAGTGACAAAGTAGTCGCAGAACATGCCATTAGTGATCCATTTCCTGGAATAATCGTAAGTTCTTGTACCTCTGATCGACGGACCGAGCTATACGTACTTGGTTCCGTTCACGATGAAGTGCTTGCCATCAGGGGTTTTCTTCGCGGTTGTGCGAAGACCAGCGACATCACTACCGGCGAATGCCTCTGTAACCGCCAGACACATCTTCTTCTTTCCAGACAGAACCTCGTCTGTGATCTTCTGCCGAAGAGGCTCATTACGAAGCCACTGCTGGACGGCAGTCAAACTAATACACATGCCTGCCATGTTACCGTCCTGGAAGCCTGCCAACAGTCAGTACAATGTCCCACCGGCCCAGGCCAACGTGAAGAGCAAACTAACCTCGAGCATTAGATCTCACCAACTCCTGGGAGAGCACCATGTCATGCAAGTAATCGAACTCCTTTCCATCGATGACACCGCCCAGAAGCTTCCGCCCGTGCAAATGCTTTCCCGGACCCAAGCGCATTGCTAGAATTCCTGCCTCCGCCATGCGATCGATCAACTCCTGACTGATATAGGTGCCATCCTTCTCCTTCTCCTGTGCCTCAGGGGTAATATAGCGATCCGTGAACTCCCGGAGAGCTTTCTGAAGGCGGCGATGGCTGTCATTAAAGTAGGGGCTCTTGAATTGCGGACGCAGCCATAGAGGCTCGGCGTAAGGAACCTGGCTCAGGCTGCCGGGCTCGGGGGTGACGATCTCCGGGGTTTCGCCGGCTACCGTTCCAATGCAAAGACCCTTGTATTTCTCGAGGACTTCCTGTCGATGAAGATTATAGAAATCGACCGTGGCATCCGTGCCTGCGACCTGGTTCAAAACAACACTGCCACCGGGGTGTGCGTCGATAAAATCGGTCAAATCGTACACGCGGTGATCGATAATGCACCAAACAGAGTCCTCCGTGTTGTGCTGCGCAACCTCGGCGCGGGTGAAGGTCTTCGACATGGTCGCGTTGTTGCTATGTCACAGCTTCAAATACCACAACAAACAAAAAGAAACTCAGAGCCTTGCAGAAATCGAACAAGAGCTGCAGAAGAAGAATGCGGGGAAGTAAATCCGTCCACGGTCTGGTTTTAAGTCATTGTTGCCAATCAATGCGAGTGGATTAGTATCCCTTAAAGCATGCCCCGATGGGCCGAGGCTTTTACCATATTAGGACAAGGCCGATCATCTGAAAGTTCACCGAGACCACGGTTAGCTTCAGCTTTGGACCCTCTTCGCCTTTCTCATTATTGTCAATACCTTACAGAAATTCGAACTTGTGTCCCAAATAAAGAAGTCAATATTGCAAGATCCAAGACGCAATCGCACACTGCATGTGAAGCAGTGATAGCAAAGTGAATGACCTGTCGTATCTGCAGAACGGCGCGTGATGCTCACCATCAGGCAATCGGCCAATTTACCCGGAACTGCCTCGGTTATGCTGACATTGGAACGGACCACCACTGGCTCAGATTGGTGGCGTGGCGTCTGATCTCAATTATGAGAATTGACACAGCTGAGTGGCTCGAGCTTCTTCAGAGCCAATGACAGACAGGATGATAGGAATCTGGCCGCGATCGACTGCGGAGACAGGTGTTTACACAGTTATTATGGTTAATGGCCGCTGTCTACAACATGCACCGCCTGATAAGAATTGGGATGATAAGCTGATAGTAATCTACTATAGAGTTATCACTCCTATATTCTCTGACTTTTCCGCTTTTGGGATTGTTCTTTTCAAATTATCGCACTAAAAGCAGCACCCATCACGGTCTCTTTGCTACCTGCAGATTGCCTATAAAGTTCGACAACAGTCTATACTATACACCCTTACCCCTCTACGAAACCTCCAACCTCAGCGCATCATACTGCACATACACCGTCGCCGGCAAAATCGCCGTCTCGGTATCCGTCGCATTGTACGGAAGATGCAAGGTCAAAACGTTATTGCCGACTTTCAGCCAATCCGTCGGGAACTCCATGCGCGAGCGAACCTGATAGCAACTCACAGCCGACCGCACAATGCAGCTGCTTGACTGGTTGAACCCGACCAGAAGGGTCAGGGGCTCCGCCTGGTCGTTGATGTAACTCTCCAAGGCGAGATTGGCATATGGTTCCGACGCATTGTACACGTCTGTGTTGCCGGATGCTGCCTTCGCTCCCGCTAATTGAATGGTCAACGTGGCCTTGGACCGCTCTGCGAGATCGTCCTCACTCAGAGGGAAGTTGATCGTCCAGTCGTGCGTGGTATCGTATTCGACGCGCGGATCGTTCGGTGTCGGCCCGAACACTGACCAGTGGACTGTGTTCAGGTCGGTTGCGGGATCGCTGGTGCCGATTGTGTAGTTGATTCCGTCCGGGAAGTCTGATTGCCAGTCATATGCGCCCCAGTAGATCAGGTACTCTGGAGGGTGAAGCGGGTGAGTGGGGTCCTTCGCAACGCCGTGTCGAAACTCCCCGGAAGACTTGTCGGGTGTTCCTAGTCGCCAGATCTCAGTGCCTGCGGACTCTGCTTCCCAGGTTTCTTGAATAGTGGTTTTCTTGCCGGCCTTCACTTGTACACCGTCGCGTACGAAGTCGCCGAAGATCCCGTCGGCGTATACAGTGAGTCGGTAGGGTCCCTCTTTGACGTGGTCCACGTTAAAATGCCCGGAGTCGTCGATCTCAGCCCAGTACTGGTATGAGGATGAGTTCACCGAGTTGTCCTGGAAATACTGGCCGTCCACGGTCAGGACTGCGATAGGTCTAGTGGCACCTTTGGGAAGCTTGATCTTCCCTTGAACGCTGCCGCGTTGACTGGAGGGGGCGTACCCGACGACGTGTTTGGCGATGGAGTCGTAGAAGTCGACGTTCCAGTTGGGATCTGCTAGGGATTCTGCATCAGATTTCAGCTCCTTTAGGGACGCAGTGGAGCCCTTTCCGCCGTTGAAGTGATAGTACTGAGGGCCGAAGGTGCGATCGAAGCCGTAGGTGATGTTGGGAGTTCCTTCGCCGTGGTGGTTGGACACGAGGTAGTTGTAGACGATGCCGTCGACCGTGAGATCCGAGTGCAGGGGGCCCTATGCAGGTTGTCAGTATATTCCTCTCCCAGCTGAAAGAACGTAGTGACATACACCGTAGTAAGTATCCTAAACAAAACACAGGTTGCCTCATTAGCCACGACTCCAATAAACATTCCAGGATACAAAATACCTTAGTATTCATAACCAACCAAGCCCCAAAAGTACTCCCATTCGAGGTACTCCCATCAGCATACATGCCATGAACGGAATTATCCCTCCACGCTAGTAAAAACCACAAGTCAGCCACATCCCCCCAAAAACCACATCCATAAAAAACGGATAACACACCATTCGAAAACGTATACTTAGTAAAATAATCCGCAAACTGAACATAATACGCATCACTAGGAGTATTATTAAACGTCCAGGTAGCATCCTGCACGACCACCTCCTCCTCGACAGCCTTGGTACTAGGCAACGGCGCAGTCTGCACCTCACTAGACGTCAAATGCGTCCAAAGCTCCGTGTTTGGCCGAAACAGCGTGCGAAACTCCTGCAGGTTGCGCAAGTATGGCGTCGTCTCGTTGTAATACGCTAATCGGCTGAAGGTGTGTAGGCCTGTTTCGCCGTCGCGCAGGAACCAGTATTGCTGGAAGTGTTGGCCTGTCGGCGGGTAGGTCTCGTCCATGAGGACACCGGCATAGTGGGTTCCGGATTTGTCGACGCCTGTGAGAAGTTGGAGCGTTGGGGAGGTCGAGCCTGGGGTGTAGAAGCCTGAGGGGATGCAGTAGCAGTCGAGGTAGGGGCCGACGCCGGTGTCGCCGGATTGGGGTCCCAGGAGGTCTTGGTTGTCGAGGTAGAGGTCGGTGATTCGGCCTTGGGATTTGGAGAAGTTGGCGGTGAGGCGGTTGTTGGTTAGGGTTATGGTGGTGTTGGTTTGGGTGGTGTGGAGGGTTGCGGTGGTGAGGGTGAGGAGGAGGGAGGTTGGGATGAGGGGGTGGAGGAGGCGCATTGTGGTGGTGGTGGTGCTGCTGCTGCTGTCTGGAGGAGATGGATATGCACCCTGTAGGTGGGATTGGAGGGTTCTGTGGAGAAGACTAGATTGTATGCCATCTTATAGTTTTTGTGGTGGTGAGAGTGCTGAGGTGCGGATTGCATTACCCCGAATGAGGAGATTGACAACATGTTGTTGTGCAGGGCCAAGAAGTGTGTGGGATGCATGACAGGAAGAAATTAGTGACATGAGGGTGTTTAAGTGCCCGTCAATGGCTGCAGAGGCTGTCGCTTAGAATCTGGGGTAAATCGCGGGGATTTAGCAGCCAAGCGAGACGGAGAAATTGTTGCCAGTCATTCACCGGAGAAATAGCTCGGCCAGTATTGCCCCGATGATTTCTCTAGCTTTGATCCCCTCATAGACTGTCTTTGTGGGTAAGCTATCATGAGTTACAACTAAGGCACTTGCATCGAGGGTTCCGTTCTGCTGTGAGCAGAGCACTATATCAGTAATGTTTCTGCCATGCATCCACATCTATCCTGGGTAGCCGGGTTTGGCACCAAAGACATGTCCTTGCGGAAAGCACACTCCCCAAGGAGATCCCTACGACCAAAGTCAATGGCGATGGTAAGTGCCGTGTTCACTGCCGGATAGTCCATCAAAGTGTTATCAGTCGCGTCAGTCTTCATTGAAAGTTCTCCTTGAACCCCTGGACTCAATACAGAACTAACCACACGTCCATACAGTACATGATCAATCCAGCCAAGACGACATCCGAAATTCAGAGCCATTTCCGTGAATCTAGCCGATAGAACTTCCGACACGCAAAGTTAGATCTGGAGCCAGTCAAATGCGGGGATCCATCCGTACCCCGGATCAAGACCCCCTGAACCCCGGTACATACTAGCATTTAGCTTCCCCCAGACTCGCGACAGCACCAGGGTCTTATAAAGTTGGGCGAAGATCAACGGACCCGCATCCGACGCCCGTCACCGAACATTCCGTCGGATGCCATCCCGGTCAATGTTGGCTTGGGTCTGCAGTGTATAACCTCGGGTAGCAGGTTGTTGGACACTATTGAGCTCAGAATTCGGAATCAATTCCTCTCATCAGTGGTCTATTGGTGATGATCCCCATGATATACCTCCTTGGCATCCAGCTGCCCAAGGACCGTGCACTCTGTTGATATGGCGTTCAGCTTGGCTCAGCTCCAGTCCCGTGGTCATGGCCTGCAAGGGGACCGGAACGCACACCGCGGTGCAGGGCTGCCCGAAATATAAAGTAGGCTGAAGACTAGTATCTTTGCATAGAGCTGTTGGTAGTGTTAGTCCTCACCAACACCGCTGCCTTTGGCCTTAATCTCTTTTACCACCCATACCTCGACGCCTCGATCTGCGCCCAGCATACTCTTCTCTGCAGCCATGACAGAAGAAGTATCCATGGGCACCGACATGGCCCGCTCTGACACACTGAAGAAGAACGGCCATGAAGAGGTCTATCTTGAGAATGTATCCTCCACGCCACCTGACCAGCAGCCCAATGGGAGCTCTTGGACAGATACCTCTCCCACCAATCCTCAGAATTGGCCTGTCTGGAAGAAGAATGCCCAAATCCTGATGGTGGCCTTTCATTCGATGGCTGCAACCTTCATGGCGGCCGGCATTATACCGGCCTACGACATTATGGCTGAAAGGTACAACGTAACCGTGCCACAAGCCAGTTATCTCACCTCTGTCCAGGTCCGTGATATCTTCACTTCTTCCTCCCTTGACAGAGTCCATTCCTTCCCCATTTATATTGAAAGGATCGCCCGACTCACCTCAATCATCCATACAGATCTTGCTCTTAGGAATTTGTCCCCTTTTCTGGAGACCTATTACCTCTACCTACGGACGATACCATGTTTTCCTGTTTTCGGTCCTTGGAAGTATGGTTTGCAATATCGGCGGAGCTCGTTGTACTACCTACGGGACGCAAATGGCCACTCGAGTGCTGACTGCAGTCCTCATTTCTCCTCCTATTGGGATAGGCAGCGGTGTGATCACGGAGCTGTGTGAGCCGGAGAAGCGAGCGCAGAAACTTGGATGGTGGACACTTATGTTGACCCTTGGAACTCCAGGTGGGCCATTCATCATGGGCTTTGTCACAAAGCGCATTGGTTTTGAGTGGATATATTGGATATTCGCCATGATGAACTTCGGGCAGTTCATCGCTTACCTGCTCTTGGGTGAAGAAACGCTATACATTCCGACCGACGGTGGTCCTTCTGAAGCAGCGGTGGCGAGATCTCGCTTCGTTCAGGAGTTTATCCCTCGCCGGATCAACCCTCGTCCCCTTAAGATTCGCGAATTCATCGAGCCACTTCTTTTTACGAGGCTGCCTAGGGTGCTGATTCCTGCATGCGCTCATTCTATAGTGTTTTGCTATGGAAACATTGCTCTGATTGTTGAAATGCCAATCGTTTTCGGTGAGAAGTTTGACTTCGATTCGCAGCAAATCGGTCTGCAGTTCATTGCTATCTTTATCGGGTGTGTCCTCGGCGAGCAGTTGAGTGGTCCTATGTCAGACCGATTTCTGCAAGTCATGCATAAAAGAAGAGGATATCACCGCCCCGCAGACCGGCTATGGCTCTCATACATTGGATTTGCCACTGTCATTGCTGGCCTTCTCGTATGGGGCTTCCAGCTACAGAAGGCTACCAGCTGGAACGTGACCCCGTGTGTGGGTGCAGCAATCGCCAGTTTTGGGAACCAAATCATAACTACAATTCTGATTTCGTTCGCCATCGACAGCTATAAGGAAGCATCGACCAGTATCGGCGTGTGCATCAATGTCTTTCGACATGTGTATGGTTTTGTAAGTCAAAGAGCACCAAGCGTTAGTAGTTCTTTGCTAATGGTTTCAGATCGGTCCTTTCTATTTCCCTGACATGTTCGAGACTTTGGGTCTGGGCGGTGCAGCTGGTGTCATGTGTGCAATCATCGGAGTCTGCGCACTTCCCTCAATCATCGCCATACATTTCGTGGCTACGCGCGCAGACCAGAAGATGCAAGATGATGTTACTGACTGATATGGTCATGGCATGGAATAATCTATACTATAGAGTTAGTGATGTACAACTTTAAACAGCAAAATCGAACACCTATGTTTTGGATGACTTACAGGCCTGGATATGTCGTAAATTTGGTTAAAAAAAAAAGGACATTACGTTCTTCCACAGCTGCCTTGCTTAGACCGATGCCATGGTGTAATTAGCCGGTTAGCTCGAAATAACTCGCAAAATCCACCCTCGTGTAGCAGACCGAGAAACAAAGTTTGTTCTGCAAATTGCGTATGTAGAAAATAATTCACCATCAGGAAGCCCGCTCAGAAGAGGTTGCTGGGAACACTGTTCAACCATGACATATCTTGAAAGTCTGGGAAGTCAAGGCTATCCAACAGTATTGAATTGACACCCTCCCCTAAAGAGAGATCGCCGAGACCATTAAACGCAGGGTTCGTGGAGAAAGCGCTCGTTTGGTGGTCATGAAGTGGAGGCCCTTCGGATACTACCCGTTCGTAGAGAATTTCGAGAGCTGCAACACACCGCCGGGCGGACGTGCTGTGGCTATGATATCTTTGCAATACCTCCAAAGCGTTTTCCCACGACTGCGTGATTGCAGCTTCAGTCACCTCTTCTAATATAGCAGGACAGAGACGACCGGCTATGAGGACGGTGGCAGCGGTGTAAACGTCTGTACATCATGAGCTTCGCTGACAGTTATTCACCAGGACTAGACTACTCACACAGTATGTTGTACCACCAAGCAGGAAGAGGGCCTGAACTTCCATCGGCGGGCATATTACTGTGTATTAGCCCGATAACCTCTTGCGCGACCTTGACGCAAATGGTCGAGCATTGCAATGCAACTCGCTGAGGAAAAGAGTCTTGCAGGGAAATCATCGGATCCGCAATCCCGATCTCACGTGAAGTACAGTATCTGGACAGGATGGGTCTGAAGAGAAGCATCCTTACGTGAAGGAATCTTACAAGAGGGTTAGTTTGGCAATTGACCATTTTGGCAATTGACCGTTTAACACATACTAGGCAACATACCTTGCACGCAATACAACACTTTGGTGGTAGAAAACTGTATATCCGCCCCCTAGATGAGATTCACCTCGCAAGTGTGATGGTAGGCTTCGGGACCACTTCGTAAGTGCCCGGTCGAGTTCGAATATCGTCCGCTCTCCCTGATTTGCTTCTTTATTGAAGTAATAGTCATAAATGTTTTCTGGGCTTTCATCGGTTGTCGGACTGTACAGACTCAACAAGATGTCGTTCAGGATTTCATAAAGCTCAAGAGACTTTGCATAGAATGCCATGACTGATGGTCGGTCTGCTGGCTGAGTCACCTCGGACCCAGACACTGCAGGGATATACTCCTCATCCACCGTAGCCGGGAGAGGGACCGATCCGCATGACGCCTTGGAGATCATGGCAGGGCGCCCAAATGTCATTGATATAACTCTACACGATGTCAATATTGGAACAGAACGACTGATTGGATTGAGGTCACGTACCGATCCATCAGGACACATCCGTGCCATATTTTGCGAGCCAGCTGTTGCTCCTGGGGATTATGTAGACGAGCGATCGTCTGGGGAAGGTGCAAGCCAAGGCCTTGGGCATTGCGGATAGCCAGCCCGGTGACAATCCAGCACTGATGGGCGGAGTCGGTGCTTTGCAAATACTGAGCCATTAGAAGCAGACATTGAATCAGAGCAGCGGAGCCTGTGTTCCAGAGGTTGAATTGAAGAAGATCTTTTGCACGAGTAAAAAATGCATCTGCAGAAGCCTCTCGCTCCTCTGGTGGGATAAAGTCAGCCAGTTGACAGGCCAGTGCAAAAATGACATTGACGGTACACATAAGCATGTTTTCATCAGATTGAAGAGCCTCCCCAGTCCAAATCATCTCATACTCTCTTCTCAACTGAAGGCTGTCAACGAGTGGATATAGTGGGAAAGCAAACTCCCAGTAAACCCCCATGAGGCTATCTGCCGTCTTTCGTGGAGGGAGGACATAGTTGGGGACTGTGGATAACCGTGGCTTCTTCGTGGCCATCAAACTGGGAGGGGGACCGACCCCAAGAATCGAATCCGAAGTGTGGCGGTTCGGCGAGGATACCTTCTTATCTATGGCAGTTTTGATTTGACGGATAAAGCTGGCAGCACTAGAGCTACCAAAAAAGCCCTGTGTGGGACGTTCATCCTCCACGGCACCCATCATGGCATTGACACTGTCCGTTGGGTCTTTCAGTCGAAGCGACTGATCCAGCGAGGCTGGTGATTGATAGGTAGTGTGCCTGGTGACAAGATGGGGATTCCCTTTGGGTGAACATTGTGAGGTGCTTCGCGCCGGAGAAAGATGGTCCGCATTCGTCGTAGTTGTAGAAATAATGCTCCTAGGTCGGTTTTGGCGAACGGGCACCTCCAAAGAGGGCGAGGCATGATGCTGCAAAGTGTGAGTGTGACCTGAACATACTACTACTCTCACAGGCGGTATATTCTGGGATGCTGGAAGGCAACGGAGCAAGGAGTAGCTTACCTGCAACTGGTCCGAGCCATCATAAGATTGCGCAAGCCCTCCTTCTCCACTGTCATAGAAGGAACGAGGACTCTCTAGATGCTTGATCCGGCTTTCCAGACTTTCGATGTAACTGCCATTATGAATTGAGCGTTAGTTCGAGTGGACAAATCGGGAAGGAGCCCGTTAGTGCCTGAGGCAGCCAGAAGGGCACTCACTTGCGAACTGCTCGCTTTTTCTCCAATTCCCCCGTGTAAACACATTGGCTTCCCTGGTCCACTCGTTTTGCGCACGGCCCACAGACTGGGCACTCAGAGATTAGCGACGTAACTTGGGTCTCTCGGAAGAGTCACACAAGTGAGGCAATACGCACCGGGTTGTCTCCCGTCACAGCGGACCTTCCGAGCACGGCATTCGTCGCAAGCAATTGCGACTTTGCGACGTTTATTGGGGCGACCAGAGCTGTCGGAATGACGAACATGAGAGTCTTGCACGCTAGACATGGTGGGGAGGGATCTGGGGTGTCATGCGATCCTGGACAGAAGACCCCGGAGATACAGCAAGTAGTTGGGGCGATGCAGAAGGAAGAAAATCCGGGGTCGTGGGGAACGGGATCTCTTCCGGTGGAGGCCGGATGACTAAATTGACATGAGCCAGCCACGGATTACTGAACTCGTATTGAGGGAAGGAAACTAATTTCCTGCTGTATTGAATTTCCAACATGTCGAGGTTCACGCAATGTGCACATCATGTTCGTCGTACTTGCGTAAGTTGATTGCAGTGGACTGACTGACTATAGGCGGGCTTTGTTGGCCCGGAATGGCTCCCGAAGTGTCCCAGCAAGTATATTGCACAGAGTGATGAAGGAAAACTTGAAACATTGAATCAAGAGCTCCATAATGCCAGCCAGACTAGCAAAAGAAAGACCTGTCAATATAAAAGTCTATCAAAGAAGCATGAGAGCAAAAAAGTCATGTGAGTAAAAACCAAAACAAATGACCGATCCCGGGATCGAACCGGGGACCTTCTGTGAGCTTCAATTATGTAAGACAGACGCCCTAAAACCACTAGGCCAATCGGTCAGATGATAAATATTTTATACTCTCCAAGGGCATGTCCTGCTCAAACTCTGCGCAACTCGAGCCCTGCTTCCTAGTATTGAAGCTCTTGGGCAAATATCAAAAGCCCAGCCTAGTAATTCAACACGGAAGCTCAAAACCATATCAACAAAGCGAGGTATGTCGAGTCCTAAGCTTCGATCAACTCAAGGTTATATAGAATAAACGGACTCCCTAGTGACCGAAAATTTTCTGTACACAACAACTGCCTAAGAAAGAGCCAATGATAAAGAGTAACCAACTCCAAAACATTCAAATACTATGACGCGCAAACATCAACAAATCATCTTTTGACCTCAATAATACCACCCAAATGTACATTATCCAGCATTAGCTGAGATACTCTCCCCGGAATGTCCGCGCAGCGAAGAGTGACATTTACATCAAGCGCCCAATGGCAATGCATGGGAGGCTGATGAGGTTATTGCTCTGTGTCAAGGTGATTGTCAGTATCTTTCATCTGACCTGGTTAGGAATCCAGGTCACTCACGCCTTCAGAGCAGCAGGCAACGCTCCGAGCTCCTTCTTCATTGCCGCCTGTTATTGGATAAATTGATCAGCTTCTATACCTCGCAAACACTCCAAGGAGATCAACTTACAAGGACCACAGTTGTTTCCACCTTGCAATTCGCCGGGTACACCCTCGCCCAATCCGGCCCGGAAGCGACTCTCATCTTGGCGGGACAGCCCATGCTCGGGACTGAAACCCTGGCAGCACTTTACATTGTTCGTTCCACAGGTATTCTGAGCATGAGAGCTGCTGAGCCCTGATTCTGAGTGGTCGTTGTGGCTGATCCACTGGTAGCCTCGAGGGACAGCACCGGCCATAGCGGTGGCCGCGACGAGGGTGGCAACTGCGAAGAACTTCATGATGATTGCTGGTTGGATAGAGGGAAAGAAGAGTAGTAGATTGCTTGAGTGATGTGTGAGAGAGACAAGAGAAAAGCTCGGATTGTGTTGTTGATGGGTTGAAAAGATGGCCGCGAGATGCCTTTTTATAGTTGTTGGACTGCACCTGGATGCACTTTGGTCTTTATGCAATATTACGGCCATCCGAAAACCTCTGCGATGATGAAGCTTTCAACCGCCGATTTGGATTCAACGCACTCTTGTCTAGAAATCAGACTAACTCCTTGCATGAGGATAGTCTTGGTGGTGGCAGTGCGCATTCTACAGCGCTGAAGGTCTCTCGGAAGAGAGATCATCAAAGACTATTCAAGTGATATCCAGAATATGTGTAGCGAAGCCCTCGCCAACGTAGTTACTACTGCATGAATCGCTTATGCAACCTCTGCATACATTTCGGAATTAGTGAGCTGGGTTCGGGCAAATCCCCACAGAGATGCATGATATTCAGGGGATATATATGACATATCACTTGCAGCAGATGTTGTTCCGAACCTCATGCGATAGTGGTATCCGGAAGACATATGAGTTCGTGACATCTCATGTGTGACCCACCGGATGAGTCTGATATCACAGAAAATCACCCAAAAAGACTGTCTGGAAGGCAAAATCGAGTCAATTGTTCAGAAATGCGCCCTCGGATCAATAACAAATTATCCTAGCTATTTTCCGGGATATCTGCGATCAAAAGCATGCTCGTCAGATCAATACATCAGTGTTCGTGGCAGATCATTGAGTCGAATATCTATTTCTAGCACCTGCCCGGTAGCACCACGAAGAGAGAGAGAATCAAGACAAACTTTCCTGAATTGTTTGGGAAGTATCATATTCGATTTAAAAGAAGCAAGTTAAAGCTTTAGAACAGGGGTTCCATTCAAGAATAGTGCTCAGTTGTGGGTCCGCAAGTCAGTCCCAAGATAGTCCGCAACATGGAGAAAGATGTTTGTCTCAACAGCAAGCACTGACCACCTGGTGACTATCATTTCCTCAACAATGCAGATAGATCTTTGAGATCGACTAACTAGCACTTTGGGTGCATCAACAAAGCCAGCAGACTGCATACATCATCTCCACTTTGCCGACTAGCGACACTATACGGAGTACACAATTAGCAGTGCACAGGAGCTATACGCAGCTAAAGTCACTGGTTCCGGCGGCACTCCTTAGTTGAGTAGGCATCCATGTAACTAGCTGCCTGGTTTCCGGCTCGGGTGGTCTGCTGGCTGTGATGGTTGTCTGTGCTAGCGATGCCTATGGTCACATTATCTAGGGTTGCGTAGTACTCCGGGGAGACGGACGCTCACATCTCAACGGACCAATTCCAGTCATACTACGACGGTGATGTCTGTCGGTTGCCGTCGGAGACTGTAACATCAGGTATGTCATTTTTAAATATATCGTTGGATAACCAATGGAAACATGCAAGTACCACATCTAATAGAATAAGCAACTACACTTCGAAATTCTACCTCCGAATCATAACCAAGCATGACCTCAAAACAAGAGTATCCGCAAATATCACGGCCATGAGGGAATACATTGACACGCATTGAATTTATCAAATACATTGTTCACCAGTTGTAGGGTTACAAGTTAATAAGCACGATAGAAATTTTTTAGGTATGCTATACACCATGCATTTGACACCTATGTTGGTGGACCAAGAAGGCTTCACATGCACCGCCGAACCCTACCTAAATATCATAGAACGCAGAACACACAACACACAAGTAGCAGAAGCGTTGTATCGGCCCATCACAGCAAACACACCACTACCTCTCAAAAACCAACGTGCTGCTTCCCAAGTGGATGGTTTCAACCACGGTCATCGATCCCACTGCGGGATAATAATGGTCCCAGCGCATCTTCTTCCTTCAGTTCCGTCTGGCAACGGAGACTTTCTGATCCTTCGCCGCAGATATAAACCCACCACCGACTGACTTTGTCAACATTTCGAAACCTCCATTCCACATCCTTCATCATTGGTTCACTCACTAGTTTTCTCCTATTATCCTCCATTACGCAAACACAGACAAACACACAATGTCCAAACCAACCATCGCCTTCCTCGGCGCCACAGGCGGCTGCATCAACGCCTGCCTCGCCCACACCCTACAGAATGGCTACCACGCCGTCGCACTAGCCCGCACTCCGTCCAAACTTATAGCCCTCCTCCGCACCCAAAACATAAACCAAGAGACTCTGGACTCCCGACTCCGTATAATAACCGGCGATGTGACCGACCCAGAGGCCGTGAAGAACACAATTTTCCTACATCCATCCTCTTCTACTCCAACCCTAGTCTCCCATATCATCTCCGGCATCGGTGCCACTGGGCACCTTCGTGGCTGGGCATTCGAATTCGACCACCCGCATATTTGCGAAGAAGCGACACGGGCGCTGCTCACAGCCCTGCGGGATATCTACAACACATACCCGGAGTCCCTACTCCATTCGAACTTGACAAATCGGCCGCTCCTCACCGTTCTCTCTGGTATGGGCGTCGATCCGAGCCAGAAGCAAATGGATGTACCCTTCCTGTTGCGCCGGGTGTATCATGGGTTGCTGCATGTGCCGCATGCGGATAAGTGGGCGATGGAGGAGATGTTGGCCGAGAGGGAGGCGAGGGAGTTGCTTCGGGGAGTGGTGATTGTCAGGCCGGGGAGTTTGTTGACCGGGGATCATATGCTGGGGTCTGGGTATGGGGTTGAGAAGGTTCGTGTGGGCACGGAGAGGGAGAAGCCTGCAGTGGGATGGACGATTCCGAGGGCGGATGTCGGCGAATGGGTGTTTCGGGAGGTGGTGGTTGGGGGTGGGGAGAGGTGGGTGGATGAGAAGGTGACGTTGACTTGTTGGTAGGGATGCTGTCTGTTTGTTTATGAGTTGGGTGTATTGTGGGCTTTTAGTGAATGTGGGTTTGGGTTATTGTTCAGTTATGGGTTAAAGCAAGTAGTAGAGATTGATATGCAATGAGAATGTAATATTTCATGATGATTCGGCTGTCGCATACGGTCCGACATGTATCAACAGCCCAGTGGAAATCATAGCATGTACTTGCCTAGATCTAGAGTCAGAGATACATGTCATAGATGGATAGTTGAGCCATCAGTTGAAATTCAGTCTATGAACGCCATGTTGTAGATCTACGAGCCCATAACTATGTACATTTGCACTCCATTGCAATGAAATATATCAACAACATTCATAACCTCGTGACCTCATCCTGAACAGTAACCTACCAACTAAATGATTCCTCCACATATCGTATCCGCCTATATCCCCGTCTCATAGCCAAATGCACCGCCGCACGCGCTTCATCCGCCAACGCGGAAGGCCCACATACCAGTACCACAGCAGATGATTCACTGAGCTGGGCTTCGTGCGCGTGGTCAAGCACGAGTGATTCTAGATTGGGCCGACCGGGAAGGAAATTGATGTTCCCAGAGCCTCCCTTCCAAAGATGGTCGCGGCTACTTCGTCGGTCTGTATCTGTATCGCTTCCGTCGTCGTCGTCGTCGTCGTCGTCGTCGCCGTGACCGACAGATCTGGGGGGAGCGGGAGTTGAAGACGAAGTGCAATAAAACTCCGCCCGGAAATCATCCCTCGCCAACGCAGGCGCTAATTCTTTCCCTGCCACCTGCTGCGCGAATGCTTCTTGGCGGGTTACCCAGATCAGACGCATATCCTTTGTCTGTGTTGTGTTGCTGTCCTTTCTACTCAACGAGGGAAGCTGCTCTGATTCGGTAGATGACCGCACCATATGATCCTGGATATACGGTACCGCGGCTGCTATGCCCGTTCCTCCCGCTATAAGTAGGACAGATTCGTAGCTCCACAGTGGAAAGTGGTTACCGTACGGCCCTTCGAGGAGGACGGTTGTGGTGGTGGTTAGATCGGTGGAGTTGATGCATTGCTGGCGAAGGGAGCGGGTCCAGCCGTCGTACGGACGAATCCAGAAGATGAATTTGGGGATTTGCTGCTGGACATGGCGGTTGTGACTGTGCTTTTGTGGGTGCTTCAGTTGTGTTTCGTCGGGGGTGGCTGTGCCTGGTGAGGATGGGTCGGAGAGGAGGGGCACTTGAGTGACGTCTATGTCTACTTCGTTGTCTTTTGTTGAGACGAATTGAGGTTCATGAGTGTCGTAAGACCATGCGCCGAGGGTGAATGGGTGGCTTTCCCAACCGGTTAGTCGGAAGGGCTGATAGAGATAGTAGAAGTCTCCCGGAGAGGGGCGGATGTGAGCTGATCCCGGGGTCACTTCTAGACGAATGACGTCGGATGATGGGTCGTAGGTTGCTGTGCTGCGCGTATACTGGACGCCTTTTCCGGCGTTGGCTCGCACGTGGATGTTGCAGTAGATGAGGCGGATTAGGCGCAGGGATCGGTCGACGATCCAGATGGCTACTGCTGGCCAAAGGTAGTTCCAGTAGTCGTGGCCTTCGAAGATGATTGTGTGGCTAGGACGGTGGTTAGTGGATGTTGATGAGCAAAGGTAAGGGGGAACTGACTAGAAGCAACCGAATAGAACAGCAATGGAAAAGAGGATGTGTAGTAGTAGAAATGTTTCGTATAACCGGTGGCGGAACCATTGCACGGCAAAGGGAAGAATGGCGACCATCACGACGGTTGCCTACAAATCGTTAGTCTTGAACAAACAGTGGTTTGGGTGAAGCCGTACCAGTGTTCCCCAGATTAGATACGGCTTGTGGAGCTTCCTGATCACGTTGCCTTCTTTAATGTTGTCAGTAATATGCCCGAGACCATATCGATGTGAGTAGCATACTTTGGTACATGATGACAAGGTAGATGAGGGTATGTGCGACAGCCTGGACAGTAGCAATCCACGCAACATGTCGATGAAACAAGTTGAACGTCCCAAAGCTCCATCCTGTCGCCCAAATGAAGATGTTGTTGCGTCCGGCAAAGAGCCACACTAGCGGGAGATTGGCGAAAGACAAGACACCCGTTCGGTCAGCGGCATAGCGCATAATCTGATCTGGTATGGAGGGCCAACTGGATACCGTCAGTTATGACGCATCGTGTACATATATTGAGGAACGTACTAGAGATTTCCCTCGACTGGCCGGTACTCCAATGTGCAGACGACGACGCTCAACACCCAGAACAATAAAACGGTCACTGCTTCAATGCGTGTAGGAAACGTCCACCAAAGCAGCTTCCGCCGTGGCGATGACAATGGGGCCGGTACCACTAGATGAGTTTGCAACCAGTGATACGTCCCATCTAGCGGTATCCATAGCCATCTCACACGAGATCGCGCCCACTGTCCTGCCCGAATGTCTAGCGCGTGGAAGATGTGTCGCACGAGACGATGAAAGATGCCAACAGCGAGAACGAGGGCCCAAAATGCATATCCTAATAGGCTATTTCGGTCAGTATCACTGTTGCGCATGACGGAGCATTGCTCTCTTACCCGAATGCATTGTGCGACCAAACCTCGAATTGCCAAGTATCCTGCGCAGATGATGGTTAGAAGAGTGGTTGTAATCATCACTAAGAACATACAATCGTGTCAAAGGTCCGACGATAGAAGGTCGGAGAGATGAGAACTGCAGTAGGGATGCGCTGCGACTTTGGAATCTGCCCATATTCAACGACAGGCATGCGACTGAGCGCATCGTGGGTGAGATTCTCGGCCACCTGCTCTCGAGGCAACAATTCGACCTTGCCATATTCCAGGCAGTAGCCCTGCAACTGAGCGAATCCGGCGGCTTGCTCCTCCTCCGTACAGTAAACATCCGCCGAGGCATATGTGGAAGTCACTTTCAGCCGGTTCTGACAGCGCGCCTCCCAGGCTCCTTGGGTCGGGTCGCCGGAAAAAGAGAGATAACCCAGGGCGGTGTACACCGCCGTCACGCATCCCTCGTCGGTTGGCGGCCGACCGGCGCAGGCCAGCCCCAAGTATACCAGGAGGAGAAGCCAGCTGGTGGACAGCATGGCATCGAGGATCCAGATGGGGTGAGTGATGATTGAAGAGGGGAAAGACAAGCAGAGTCACGAAGCTCGGAGATGGCTGAGTGCGAGTGGGGCGTGACCGAGTCGCCCGTACCCTCCGACCGAGTCCGGCCGGGGGCGAAGTCTGAGACCCACGTGGTCCTGAGAGATGGAATGTATGGTACAGGAGCAAAGCCCGGTGCCTTGACTAGCGAAGCATAGTCTCAATGTTCCATTGTGATAACCAATATCTACACGGAACCTCGAAATGAACTCGGAGGAATACTCCCGAACGGGACAGTCGGACATACATGAGCACAGTTGAAGCCAGGGACCTCGTGATCATCGGGATGGGGCCTATCTAATCTGATCGCACCATCTGATAGCGCCCGAGCTATGATTCGCTACATTACATCCAGGCAGCATCCCTTCTGCCTCAGGCTGGAACACGTAATACGGTAGAAATAATTGGGAGTCTGTTCAGTTCCAACGGTAAAAGTTTGAATCACTAGTCCCCACTACATGATACTATTAGGATATAACGGAGAATAGATGACGTTTATTATATTTGTATATGATCTATACGACATTATCAAGCGTATCTCCAGGCCGTGCCAAAGAATGTAGCGCAAAACGAAGGGTAGGCTACGTCGGCTACCAATACAGATGAGAAGCAAATACTAGCATTAAAGCGCAGCGTAAACCATGTAGCGCGCGACGTCGCAAGTGCGCCTATGGGAAGCAGGCAACACATGAGATAAACGAGCTACTACCAAGGCAAGACCACCCGGGAAAATTCGTGACCCTCTTTAGGCTGCCTCGGCGCTCTCTGAACGACCTCAATACCGGCTCTTCAGGATGTTGTCGTTCGCATCATCTTCTCGGCGGTACTGACCAGATGTTCGGCTCCTTCCCAGCGGGGGCTTCTGCTGGCCTATCTTAACAGTACTGGTAGGCTCATTCTTGAAAGATTGAACTTTGCTTTGATAATAGGCGTTTGAGGTCTGCTGGTATATAAGGCGACAGGATCTATAGACTACATCCAGAAATGTCTGGTTGTAGTTCTTGCCTACCAGACACTCAAAGGCTGACTTGGCCCACGCCTCCTCACCAGGATAAATAAAAACTGGAGGTGACAACTGCTTGTGATCACCAACGAAGAGCACCCGGGCGTCCGCCCTGAGTTGGCCAAGGACGCTGAAGAGTTCCGGATCACGGAAAAAACTAGCCTTGTTTGGGGTCTCTTAGCGGCGCAAGCTCCCATGCTGGCCCTTGTTGCTCATCCCGCTCAAGATTGGACAGACTGGAGTCAACCGGGAGGAAACTAAGAAGTCCATATGTCTTATTCAGGCTTCGCTTTCGAGATATTATAAATCTTCAAGAATGAATAATTGCGTAGCATGTGATGAAACCACGCCGAAGCAGCCTATATCGTCTTGCTGAAGCATAGCTACTGACAGCTTCACTGGTGTTGCTGATAGTGTGGAGGGCATAGGTACAAGATTGTGCGATGCTATATAGTCTGTTTGAGGATAGTCTCAAACCCAATTTATACCTCTCATATATTCATTGAAAGCCGGGGATTTGATATGAGGAGGCGCTTTCAATTAGGACTATACACCTGCCAACGGTCTCCGCTGCATAGCTGGAACTTGGTCATCTAGTCTGTTGTTTTAGACCGCGGACTAAGGTAATTCTTTATATATTATGGGGATCTATTTCGCCATGTCTCTGTTTTTTATTTGAGAAGAAGTGATATATTTGATTTGATGTGCTTCGCAGAGGCCTGACAATAATTGAAGTGTCTCTATATGTCCTGCCTTAGAGGGTATAGGCGATCGTGGAATATGGTAAGAAGCAGAATTCCGAAAGATGATGGCCTTTAATAGAAAGCCATGATGGTGAAGATGATGACCGTTGATGAATGACAGATAGTCACCTGGAAGGTTCAATACTAAATTGGGAATGGCCAGATTCACGGAATGATACTAACAAGTCTCACGGAGATCCTAGAGCTGCAATTACTATTCAATACGACCACCATAAACCATTTGACTGGCCATCTTCATTCATCTACATCTCTATAACCTCAAGAGTCCATGAAGCCTAGTATACTACTGCATCACAACCTTGAATCCCTCAAAACCCGGCAACGCCCTTCTAATCTCCCCCTTGTACATCGGAATCCCACCCGTATAATTCAACTGCTCAAACGGCTTCCCCGGAAATGTCCCTCCCATATACGTCGACCGCGTGGTAGGCAACAACGTCAAATTCGACAGCTCCTCAATCCGATGCTTCCAGCTATGAATAGCCGATAAAGTCGGCTCTACTGATTTAATCCCCTTCCGCTCCATCGTCCGAATCGCATCAATGATCCATCTCCCTTGGAGCTCGATCGTGGTTGGCCCATTAGATAATGCCGTTGTTGCTTGCGGTCCATACGTAAAGAAGAGGTTTGGGTACCCGTGAATAGCGAGTCCGAGGTACGTATGTACTGCCGCGGCCCATTCATCTTTCAGATACGTGCCATTCGTACTGCGCAGACCCAAATTGGTGAGTCCGCCAGTGGAGACATCAAACCCGGTCGCGACACAGATCACGTCGAACTCGTGCTCCGTGCCATCAGTCATACGGATACCCTTTTCGGTGAACGAATCGATGGCGTTGTTGCGCACGTCAACGATATCCACATTCGGCCGATTGAATTGGTCATAGTAGTCCAGTTCCAGGCTCGGTCGCTTGACACCCCACGGGTGTGGTGGCTCCAACGGGGCCAGCAGGTCGCGGCTAATCGGGTCGTCAATACGAGCGCGCACTTTGCGTGCCCAGAAGTCATAGATCACCCTGCTGGCTTTGGCGTCGAAGAGATAGTCACCGTAGGAGCCGACCCAGTATCGGAACCCACCTTTCTCCCAGAGGCCCTCGAGGAATGCTTCGCGCTCTTTCTCGTCCTCGTCGAAGACTCCTCGCTCGATGAAGTCGTAGGTGAACCCGCCGAATGATGTTTCCCGTAGTCGGAATAACTCCGGGTACAGGGGCTTCAGGCGCTCTTGCTCTTCGACGGTGAGAGGTCGCTTGCGCATCGGGATGGCGAGGTTAGGTGTGCGCTGGAACACCTTGAGGGAGCTGGCGACGGGGCCCAGGGCTTGAGTCAGTTGGACACCGGACGCGCCGGTGCCGATCACGGCGCATCGCTTGCCTTGGAAGTCAACTCCTTCTTCGGGCCAAGATGCAGAGTGGTGGATGTCTCCACGGAAGGAGTCCATGCCTGGCCATTCAGGGACGTGTCGCTTGGCGGCAAATCCGGTCGCGACAATGAAGTATTTTGCGGATGCGTGACGACCATCAGCTGTGGTGATATTCCATCGTCCAGCTGTGGGATTAAACTCTGCCGATACTACGACCGTATTGAAAGAGCAGTCCTTTTTTATTTCGAGGACGGTCTCGACGTGCTCGAAATACCGGCGTATCTCGTCGTAGGCGGGATAGTTGGTGGACCAGGTCCAATTGACCCATGTTTCCGGGATAGAAAATTGATACTCAGGCACTTCAGAGTCCACGCGAGCCCCGGGGTAGCGATTCCACTGCCATGTGCCTCCAAGGTTTGGGGCAGCGTCGAAGATGACAGTCTTGAGTCCCAGCTTTCTCAATTCATGTAGACAGTAGATGCCGCTGAATCCGGCTCCTACAATGAGGACATCTAACGACAGGCTGTTGCCATTAGGGCTTTCGGGGCGTAGAGCGCTTGAGTCCTGCTGGGAGTCAGAAGGCATTGTTGCGATGCATAATAGAAATATCTCATCGTGGTCTTGGAGAAAGAGGGGAAAGGAATTTATAAATAGGGTCAGCAGGGCAACCGTGGACCTCCGGGCTAGAACCCCGCAACTGTCGGGGAGAAGAATCTCAACCATTCGTATTCATGCCGGCATGCTGACCCTGGCTAGTCGCTGCGCTTTCTACTGGTGATAACCCCGCTCCGGGATGCGCGCCACGTTACACTTACGGCAGGGGGGGTTTTTGTGGCGGTTATCAGGGCATCAAGTGGGCGATTGGATGACATCCCTTGGTTTACAAGTGCTCGTGGTACGCCGAGACAATGTGCAACAATTAATGACCCGGAACGCCCGCTTGATCATTTGAGGCGAGCTTCTCCCGAGACAGAAGACACATAAGCAGCAGTATATCAGATCGCCCGAGCGGGCTGCTCACATTTATGCTAACATTCAATCATGATCATCTTGGTTATCTTAGATAGAGAACTCCCCCGTCAATGGCAAATCGCGGCTCGACCGTCCCACGTACACTTGATACGTGCCCGACTGCAGCTGCCACTGCTGCGCTTCCACGTTCCAAGTGCTCAAGTCGCGCCGATTCAGCGAGAAGCTCACCTGGGCTGTCTCGCCCGCGGAGAGAAGCACCTTGTCGAACCCACGCAGCTGACGGACCGGCCCATTGGGTATCCCCACATACAGCTGGGCCACCTCCGCCCCGTCAACCGATCCACTGTTCTGCACCTCGGCCGTCACTGTGACCAACTTATCCCACAGTCGAGGGTTTCCTCCTTCTTGAATAGTGGCCGACGGTGGATACTCGGAGGTCGTCTCGTTGGTCTTTTCGATGCTCAGCCCCGAATAATCAAAGGTGGTGTACGAAAGGCCAAATCCGAACTCAAATTGCGGGGTGATGTTATCCTTGTCAAATGCCCGGTAGTCGATATAAACTCCCTCGGAGAAGTCTGACTGGGGGAATAGGCCATAAGGCGTCTGTGGTTCCGATGGATGCAGCAAGGAGCCATAATCCGAGGCTTGCTTGGCGATGGTGTATGGAAGCTTGCCCGAGGGGTTGGCCCGCCCGTAGAGAATATCTACCAAGGCATGTCCGGTGTCCTGACCTGGCAGGTGTGCCAGGACGACGGCAGTGACATTCTCATGATCAATCCAATTGTACACCAAGCGAATGCCAGCGTTGTGGACGACGACAATGGTGTTGTTACACTTGTTTGCCACATTTGTGACCAGGGTGTCGCTGTAGTCGTCCGTCAATGCGGAGCGGTCATACCCTTCCGTGGCATAGCTGTTGATGAAGACGAGGCATGCCTCAGAAGTGGGATCCACCTCTGGATCTTGAGCACTGACGTCCCACAGCACGGATGTGCCGTCTTCGTAGGCCTGCTGTTGAATGGCATTGAGTGGCGCAATGACATATGCCGGTGAGTTCGATCCTGAGCCACCGCCCACCCAGAGAGTGTAATTTTGGAAGAGAGGACTGATACTCAAAATGGTAGAATCAAGGTCAAAAGAATCAATGACCTTGGCATCATAACCAAAGACAGACACTAGCTGGGGTGTTTGAAGAGGGAGAGCATTATTGGTATTCTTCACCAAGACGTGCCCCTCAATTGCGCTCTCCAAAAGCGTGCTCTTCTCGTCGGGATCCGTTCCAACAACAGCCTGGTGCTCCGACTGGGCGCTTGCTGGCATACCAACGCCAGGGGTGGGAAAGTCCGTGTCTTGGTTCAACTGATACCACGTTGCGATAATCCTGATTCGATCAGCTTAGCCGTACTGGAAAAGTAAGCTACGAAGCTCACCTAGTCGCCATATCGTCCAGTCTTGATGCCTCCATCGTGCCATTGGATATAGCGGTGGTGAGGTTGGACCCCCAGAGCGTCGTTTCAGGCATTACCATGTCCAAACCGGCATTGGCCGAGGCGATTCCACCATGCTGGGCTCCCCAGTCGGTAATCACGTAACCTAGGATATTCAGAGACCGTTGTGTAGAGACCGTGTTGGAAAATCTCACCTTGGAAACCCAACTCTGTCTTCAGTAGTCCGTTAAGTGTCTTGCTGTTCTGGCAAGCGTAAGAGTTGTTGATCCGCTCATATGAGCACATAATGGCAACACTTCCCGCCAGGACGGCATCCTGGAAAGGCCACAAGTAGAGCTCGTGGATTGTCTTGTCATCGATGTTAGACGAGACGGCAGCCACGTCAACACCATTAACCGTTCCCGGGTTTCGGTTTGTCTCTTGCTCGTTGCCGATGTAATGCTATTGAACCATAAGCCATACTGTGCGCGCTCAATGAATGACTAGTTCTCACCTTCGTTGAGACACCAACACCAGAGGACTGTACTCCCTGCACTGTTTCGTATACAAGTGCTCCGGTGAGGTAGGGGTCATTCGAGAACCCTTCCCAGTTGCGGCCGCCCTCTGCCACCCGACCAAGAGGGCCAACAACAGGACCGAGAAGAAGGTTCACTCCTTTCCGGTGAAACTCTTGGCCCATGTACTTGGCCCTGTCTCGGGCAAGGGTTCGATTCCAACTGCATCAGTATGTTAGCTTTAGAAACAGTAGAGACGTTCGTTGACATAAATGTTACCTGGCACCGACGTGAATACCGCTAGACCAACCGTTGACATAGTCTGTTCCCCGCTGCGAAAATTAGACATATCCAGTCTTGTATGAAGGCCATACGTACCAGGCCATTGCTTGCATCGCTGACACAAAGACCGGGAAAGTTGAGGCGCGGGATCTCAGCAATAAAGCCCGAGCAGCCAGTCTTGGAGCTTACTCCTGCCGTGAGGTTGACCTTTTCGTCGTCCGTCAATTGAGCGACGAAGGCCTTAGCCTTTTCATAGGCGGAAGCCCATGACCCAGTACCCGTTCCCTCGGCTTTGGCCAGGCGTTAGTGAAGGCTGTGCCTGGAAAGGGGAAACACCACGTACGAGACGGATAGACTGCGGGAGACTGTCCATAGAAGTAAGTGTCGCTAGTGATGTTCTGTGACGGAGCAGCGCTGGAGAGCGCGAGGCTCCCAAGCAAGCTGAGAAGTGCACTGATGCTGTGCATTTTGGCGATGCTGTCTTGACTGCTGCCAGGTCATGTTGCACACCGGCCACATGGTGGTATTTAAATGCCACTTTCCCCTCACATTTGCATGGGTGACATTGAATGTATCATTGTGAATGTGTAGTTGCGGTGCCCATACTTGCGGGATTTCCAGACTAGCGGATAAACATCGGGCAAAAGAATACAAATGGTGTGTGATTAGACCATGTCATGCGAGGTGCAAATGGGAAGAGGAGGAGTATAGAAGCCTTTTCGGGGTAACATTAGGCGAGCCGTCTCTTCTCCTCCACTTCCGGCAGCGTAGAGGGATAGAAATGCCGCTGTAGGAGTCCCACAATTTCTAACAAGTCCCCACCTGCAGTGGAGTAAATCCGGGGAAATGCAGGGTATGACTCGTCATATAGGGTAAGAACATGCCCCGGTTAGGGTACGGGGCGAAAGAGAGAGCGTACTGTGCAGAGCTGCGCGTGGATGAGGCGAATCAAGATTTCTCTTTCTCCATACAACATCCGGCTTGGCTTAGGCACTTAGGCTATTATACTTTCCGGTCGTCTGACCGCAGGAATATGGCATGGCGTCATCCATGAGGCCTGGTAGGTCCGAGTGTGCTTGGTCTCCTGTTGTTCCTACTAAGAGCCAATCAGCTGCTGGGCATCACGATTTAGGTTCAACGCTTGTTATATGCGATCGGGCCCCGGAAGATAATCGACGAGCCCTATTCTTCGGGTCGCTGGCCTAGAGAGGACGGTTCATGCCGCACCAAGGATTGGAAGTGCTCCCACTCTCTCATCGGCCCAGAAAATCGGCACTTGTGTCTACAAAACGCAGCGATGAGTGGAGGATGAAGCACCCCGAGACGAGCGCGTGGCATCGGATGGTGTGTGATGGAATCAAGTCCGTTCGAGGCATCATCCGCCTAGACCGGGTTGCAAGGTGACCGAGCGGGGTAGTCAAGAAGAGCACATCATCAGTGATGATGCAGAGGGTTTAAGAAAAACAAAGATAACGTTGTGTGCCCATTGAGGGGAAGATGATGATATTGCCTATACTTCAGGCGTAGCGGAGCGGCAGTATCGCTATCGTAACCAAGGGTTGACGGATAGAGGGTACTACTACTAGTAGTATAGGGTTCGTCATTGTATATACACGTCTATGTAACGTAACTCCCGGCCGCGCCGGCCACCCGCCCGCACCGGCCACCCACCTACTACACACCCAACGCAAGCAAGAATGAAGCTATTCAAACAACATTATTATTAGCAAAGCCTATATATTATTACTTATTACGGAGATTTGAACACTGATTTCTTTTGTGGCTAATTATATAGTATTTACTGCAGCGGGGAGGTGCTCCACGCTGATCTAATAATAAAATCCATTGTATGAGGCATTCTTTTTCATTAGAAGTCAATTTCTGAGCGCTATTAGGAGTCTCTTGAACAAATGGAGTGCCGTATAGTTAATCTTGTAGAATAGAGTATAGGACAGTTAAAAAGCATGTAATACCGTGAATACTGTCAATTTGATGCTTCTTTATAGCTTTAATAGTAAGTAGAATCCTGCCCTCCTGCTCCGCTGCATCTTTTGATGCTTTAGACTGTTTTGGTGGCATGGTTAGTGGTTGAATAGCTTCAAGTAGAGAGGAGGGGGGAGGGTGTTTGTATGTAGGAACGCGTTGGGTGTGTAGTAGGTGGGTGGCCGGCGCGGCCGGGAGTTACGTTAATTGAAAACACATTATGACGTCGCATTCACTGTACAGCTTCTTTCTTTTGCTTGCTCCTTCTTCCTTTGCCTCCTGCCCCATCCCCTCGCCTAACAACACAACCTTAGCCCGTCGACCACCTTTACCATCACCATCACCATGTCAGACAACACCGCTTCAGTAGAACCATCCTTCGGTTACCGCCTTACTGGCCTGGGCACGGTGATATTGACAGTTCGCCTTCTTTCTGAACTTCTTACAATACCTCCATCCGAAGTGGAAACTCACCTTGTTACCGACACTGAGACTGTTCAAAAGACTCTGCTTGAATCCGACAGGTTGAGACATTTGATCAGGCATGGAGCGATCCCAGTGTTCCCTATTGACATTGGCCTGCCTCATCGTCGCCCTCGTCAAGATCCCGACCATATTGATGGGCTTCCCACACGCTCATTCCTATCATCCTTATGAACCCGTTTCAAACCGCCTATCGTTTACAACAAACTCTATTTCTACCACGACATTTCGCACAGAATTGCCCGAACCTACTGTTATCAGCCAGCAAGACCAATACTTTGCGTCCGGCATCGATATTTACCATCCGACCCTAGAGACATTAGAAGAGGGGACATGTTCAAACACGGTACCTCCCTGGGCAAGCGTCAGCGAACTGTGCGGCCGAATTGTGCCAACCCAGTTACTTCTACCACCGGCAGCATCATCCATCTCTCCCCGTTGCAATACCTATAGATTTGCAAACGCAGTTTTCTCGATCTGTAATACGGACACCGCACACCACCATCGCTTCACCGCTCAGAGAAGAACTTGTTATCGAATCTATAACGAATGCCGTTATAGGAATAAAGGAGGATACGTGGAGTACAGAGGACCGGACGGAGTATCTTCACTTTACCAAGATGTTGATATTTCCTGGCCTCTGATGTATGCAGCTGGCATCGGGAAAATGTTGTGACATGTTCCATCATCGGAAGATGGGCACTAGTTTGGCTTAGCTTTACCTACACCGGTCCCATTTGTTAGATGTCTTTGGACCTTTCATTGGATAGTTTAATCCCGTGCGAGTCCCAAAAAGGGAATAGTGTGGCGGTCACGGCAGACTTTCTTGTTCTTGTTCTTGTTCTTCCTCGTCCACTTTCTTCTCTCTTTCTCTCTCCTTTCTCTCACACACACTCTCTTTTTCTTTTAGCTTCCATCCTCTCTTGCTTAGAAATGCTTACCAAGTATTCCGCCGTAGCTGATACCCCCATGTCTTTTGCTCATAACCATGTGGGACGACCCCGGCATCCCTCCTGCTGTCATCGAAATCCGGGGCATCCCCGGACCCACCAGCGCTGCCCAATCTACTACTAATGGAAAAGATTGACGATGCCCTGCAGTGACCTGGGTGGAAAACATATTATTGCGGAGATGCGGGGGGACGGCATGATGGAATGTTACTCATGCCTCCATAAGCAGTGGGTCTCCGTCTCCATGTGTTTTGTCCCCCTAGTTGTCCCTCTCCACAATTTGCAGGGATAGGAAAACATGGTCAGATGCACGCGGTGATATCACTCCTTCTTAGTGCTTCTATCACCTCTTAACGGTGCTACTGTGCCTCCTATGCGCAAAATGTGGTAATAATACGTGGTGGGGACCACAATGAACAATATCCGCGGCCATCCAGCGAGGTAACCCCGCTCACACCCGCGCTTCCTTCTCCGCATGACTGCCATAGCCATGCCACACCTCGCCGGCAATGCGGCTTTGCAGGTTCCGCTCTTCATCAATGAGTTCGTCACCGAATGCCGCGGCAACTTGCTCCAACGACTTGTTTGATGTCTCTGGAACGAGGAAGAATGAAAATACGGCAGCAGCCACACAGAAAATCCCAAAGAAGAGATACGTCTCCCATCCGAGCTTAAGGAGCATCTCCGGCACGACAACCCCGATAATGAAGTTGGCCAACCAAATCATCCCCGTAGCGGCACCAACTCCCTTGGCACGTTTGGAGCTAGGAAACACCTCCGCAGGAAGGACCCATGCCAATGGCCCGTACGAGACGCTGTAGGAGAGCACATATAGGTCTGTCACCCGTGTCAGTGGTCACTGCGCAGAAGCCTTCGAGGCTGAGAGCTTACAAATCAGGGCCACACAGAACCACCCCACTGCCTGATATGAAGCCCAATCGCTACTGAATCGGTTCATTAACCCCGCCATTACGAGATGCGGGATTGCCATGGCTATTCCACCGTAGATGGCCAGTTTACGCCGCCCCACTTTATCCAGATACAGCATCATCGGAACGCCTCCGACGAATTGACAGACATTGACCATTCCTGAGAGAATCAGTGAATTATTGTCGCTCTGTCCCAGGGCTTCGAAGAATGTGGGCGCATAATACACAAAAGCGTTGACCCCCGAAAACTATATCGGTCAGGAGTTGAAGGCATGGGGAAGTACCATCGCAATCAGTGGGCCCCATACCTGCTGAAAGAACGGAATGGCCAAGGCAACAAGAGTCCTCCTGAGGTATCTTGGTCGAAAGAGATCGACCCACTGTTTAAAGCCGACAAGGAGCGGGTGACAAGCGTGGTCAGGATAGTCCCTTTCGAGGAGCGCCTGCTGGAATCGGACCTCCGACAAAATTCCCTTCCATTCCAATTGCACCTTCTCCTCTTGCGGCGACCGTTTGCGCAATTTCGCCAAACAGCTGAGAGAGTCCTGATCCCGACCTCTCATCGCCAGCCAGCGGGGCGAGAAGGGAAATAGATGGATGCCTATGCCCACAACAAGGGCCGGAAATATCTGGAGGAGAAACGGGAGCCGGAACGCCCAATCACTGGGGATGGATCTATAACCACGTCAGCCTTTCGCTTAAAGAGACGTTCGACACTTGTTGTTCCAATGTACCTTGTTCCATAAGTGATCCAGTACGATATAATTGCTCCGATGACGATGCTGATTGCCTCCAGAACCAAGAATGATCCACGCCATGCAGGGGGGGAGATCTCGGATATATACAATGGAGCACCCATTGCCAAGGTGCCGACGCCAATCCCCCCAATAAATCGACCGGCCACGATTGTAGCATAATTCTGCGCGGCTGTTTGAATGGTGGCACCTATTACGAAAAAGAATGTGGCCACAGTCAATCCCCATTTTCGAGATATCCAATCGGCGACGGCGGGAAAGAACAGGCAACCGATGAAAGCCCCCAATTCCAGCATCCCAGTCATAAGTCCCACATTGAAACCATAGTGTGCATGGTCCGGGGACGTTTCGGGAAATTGCTGTCGGAATTGGGACATGACGAGAATGATCGATATGACACCCTGATCTAGAACATGTTAATTGGGACCTAGTGTAGGTGGACAAAGGACATACCGTAGCCAAATGAGAAACCACCGAATGATGCCAACAACGCAGCACCGAATACGTAGGGGTTGTGGATGAGGTCCCTAAGCTTCCCGGCGTCATACTTCACTTCCGAGGATAGAAGAGCAAGCGCACTGGTGTCGGCATGTTCATCGTGGACTGCCGAACTCTTGTCGAGTTCTTCGGGGTGTTCCTTCTTGGTCATTGGAAAATTTGTGCTATTGAGAAAGCTCCTCCTGTCAAGAATGAAATAAATACGTGCTCCACGGCAGAAGGATGACTTCTGAGAGTTTATATACGTAACAGGTCCGGATAGTAGTTATGGGTATAATCCTCGTGAGCCGCCTCCTCGATGCCAGCAATTGAGACGCCGCCCCGCACCTGGGGTGTCGATCCGGGGGGGCATCATTGATTGGACCTCGCTGGAGGTTTGCGGGGAGCAACCTATGGTTTGTCTTGTCTCCATTGGCAATGCTTCCCACTTGACAAACGGACCATCTTGCCTTGTTCGCTGTTCGCCGAATGCAGCAATACTTCCCCATGAGGTAATGCTGCCAAACATCGGATCGGCCAATTAACAGCGCGGTTTGCAACTGTGGTGGAGCCCGACTTGGCGTCACTGACAAGTCAGGCATGGAGTCATGATGGATGCTTTCATCTCTTCTTCAACTAACCTACCAATTTTGTCAGGCCAATTGGGTCACCAGCCTGCGTAGTTTGTATTGGAGGTTCCCCCAGATTGCCTTTGATGAGTTATCTGGGTCCGAGATCATATTCATGCACTATGCTCTCTCACTTGCCTGGTTTCGACCTCTGTATATTCCCCAGATTGTCGTAAATTATCTCGTACGCCAGAGGTTTATCGGCAAGATGATTGCAGATATACTCGCTTCTCGGAAGATGGGTGGTCAGACATTGTTGATGAGGCTCACGTATGGAATGACTAGTATCCCTGTGTAAACAAGAACCCAGCGAAATTTTGACGAGAGCAGCCTTACTTAATTTGATCCCCAGACTGAGAAGTTAAATCCAGTCCTTGTCGTTGCCCACCCTGCTAGGTATCTAATCCGTGGTGGCTAGGACACTAGTCGCCCTGGCACTTGCCCTTGGGTAGCCCGGTAGTCCATCACATGTTGAAAACTGGTATATTTTGCTGATCTCAAAAGTGGATTGTATCGTACTCAATTTTGAGATATCGTCCTGTACCTCTTTCATCCGTTGTGCCAGACAGCAGATTGAGGTAGGCCGTCGGTCAGTACCAGCAACTCTAGCAAGGCTGAGAACCTTGAACATGTAATGTAGACTGTAGTACCAAGAATATCTGTTATGTTCTTGGGAGGCAGTGGACGAATGTCAGTGATGCTCATGTTCAAGTTACAGATTGCGACTAAATTGACTGATGATGCAGTACTACTACTAATTAGTATGCATTCAGTAGCAGTTACTGGCAGCATTATCCAATAGTATATATATTCCTAAGGGGGGTTCCTTACAGTCCTCATGTGACGCACAAAGCTCGTGCTTGTGACTTATGACATGACGGTCAAGAAATGAAGACATCTCATCTTGTCGAGGATGTCCAGGGGCTTCACAGATGATCGGTACTTAGTATGAAATGATACTATAACGACTAAGCCACCCCGTCCCGGCTGCTCGGAGGTATTTCCATTCCGCTGAGTCATCACCCATCTCCTGCTCCCCGGCCTCTATTCTATTCTTAGTATCTGGTTTGTTTTTCCATGTCTCTCCCCTGGGATGACTTGATTCATTGATCCATCTGAGACCTAGTATAAGACCTGCCACTCCCCGGAGTGGGGGTTCTCCGCTGAGTCAACATGATCGGCTTTATTGATGCGCGCAGCCCGCAACTCGGCAATGCTTCGCCTACCTATAAAGTTAGCCATGGCGCCTCAACAGTTGTATTTGCTAATAAAATGCAGAGAAGCACTTTCTTGAAGCATAGCAGAAGTTTGTCTAACAGTACCGGATTGTGATATTTGCCTCTCTATACAGAGTGTTGGAAGTTCAGAGCTCCCTCCATGTCTCTTCCGAAGACTCTCCACTTCCCCGAGAGGCCGCAGTTCTCGGCTTTTATGAAGCCATGTCGGGTTGAGGGCGAGGTGAACAATCTAGAGGTCTATGGAAATATTCCAAATGATATCGACGGCACATTCTTTCGGGTAATGCCTGATCCCCAGATGCCACCCTTCATCGAAGATGATCCAGTTTGTATTCACTTTCCCATTGGTATGCTGTACCGGATGTGCTAAAAGAACTAGTGGTTCAATGGCGATGGGAATGTTAGCGCCTTTCGGATAAAGAATGGCTCCGTATCGTGGCAGCAGAAGTTCGTACGTACCGAGAAATTCGTGCGCGAAAGAGAAGCAGGGAAAGCCCTTCTTGGTATGCCGGTTCTCAATTATTGTCTACTGGGCTTCGCTAACCGGTACAGGAAAATATCGGAATAAGTTCACGGATGCCGTCCGGTTCAAGATCCGTAGCACAGCAAACACCAACATTGTCTTCTTCAATGGGCAGCTGTTGGCCCTAAAGGAGGACTCCCCACCATATGCGATAGACCCTCTTACCCTAGAGACAAAAGGTCTGTACGACTTTGAGGGACAAATTCCAAGTGTCACTTTCACGGCACATCCCAAATTTGACCCCGCAACCGGCGAAATGGTCTGTTTCGGCTATGAGGCAAAGGGTGATGGCACACCAGATGTTTGTTACTACCAGGTCAGGCCGGATGGGTCTTTCTCCGACATCTGCTGGTTTGTGGCGCCTGTTTGTGCCATGATACATGACTTTGCGGTGACCGAGAATTGGGTGAGTGTCAAGCCAATTAGATCTCGATAAAAGACTTACACCACTAGGTGCTCTTCCCGCTTATTCCCCAATTATGCGACATCGATCGCCTCAAGGCAGGCGGGGAACACTGGCAATGGAGTCCCGAGACCCCTTTGTATATTGGCGTCATCCCTCGACGAGGACCAAAGTCTGGAGACATTAAGGTGGCTGCCATTCGATGCAACTCTTCATACAGCGCACTGACTTATAACAGTGGCTCCGATGGGACAATTCCTTTCCTGGACATACTCTCAACGCGTACGAAGACCACGATGGGCACGTTATATTCGACCTCGGTATCAGCAAACAGAACGTATTTTTTTGGTGGCCAGACAGCAAGGGGTCAGCACCCGAGCCCAGCACAATCACGTCGCAATTAATGCGATTCACAATCGACCCGAACACAACAAGTGAAATACTGCCTGACCCCGAGGTCCTCCATACCGGCAATAGCGAATTCTACAGAATAGACGATCGCTACGCCACACAAAAGCATCAACACTGCTTCTTTGATCTCATGGACCCCTCCCTGGGCACTGACTTTGAAAAAATAGGGCCTCGTCTCGGTGGCGGGTACCCTCTATATAATGCTTTAGCTCATGTGGATTTACATACTGGGATCTCAGAGATCTACTTCCCTGGTCGGACACATCTGGTGCAAGAACCGGTTTTCATTCCAAAGGCAGGGTCTTCTATCGAAGGAGACGGATACCTCATGGCTCTGGTTAATAACTACGAGTCGATGACAAGCGAGCTGCATCTGTTGGATTTGACGGATTTCAGCAAGGCCAGGGCGGTTATTCCTCTGCCGGTTCGGCTTCGGCCCGGTCTGCATGGAAATTGGGTCGATAGTAGTGATATGCAGTCTGTATAAGTTGTGAATTATTGTGATTCGCATGGGAGATGAGAGGGTGGAGAACGTTATCTACTTGCTTTATGTCGCCAAATTATACTGCGGTCCGATGCAACTGCTACGTTCATACTATGCGGAATGAATAAATCCCGATTAAGTCATTGATAGGCTTCTTTTAGCGGAGCTGGGACCCCGCCTAATATATAAGGCGAAATGATAGAAGCACGGAATAGCAACAACCCGAGTACTACCGCTGTCAGATATATACAAATTCCTCGCAGCCAGCTGGTTCACTCCGCAATACCCCTTCGCCAGATCTTCATCGGCATTTCGCCCGGATTCAAATTGCCTCATGGCGAGATATGTTCCACTCCGGAGAAGGCAGCACAAAGTCATACCGATGCACCACAGACGCCAACACATCCGTCTGCTCTGGATGGGAGCTTGTGGTTGCCAAAGCATATGATCAAGAAGTCGGCCACCCAAACAAAGATTCTATTGGCCCAGATAGATTCAGTTGCTATGTCGCAAAGACTATAGTTATTGCTCGAGCAAATAGGGAACGCAAATGGGCGCTGGTGCAGAAGAGCACTCCAATTTTCTTTGAGTAAAGCACTGAGGCAGGCTGAATGATGAAGGGAGAGGGACGGTGTACAGTGAACGTGGGGATTTGGACGAAGGGCCCTGGATATTCTGGTATATATAGAAAGCCTTTATCCCTTGTGTATTAACGATGAACTTGATAGCATTGAAATATGTATCAGAGTGACCTATCGAGGGGTCTGTAGCTGAAGTTAGCCTTTCAATTAATCATCACTCAGCCTTATAGCAGCAATGAAGGGTATCAAATGGTAAGTACCCTCAATTTGCTCGTAGAAGCGTAGAATAGTCGTCGCCGTCAGAACATCCTCATTATATTCCTCACGGGGGTCATTCGATATCTCAAGCAAGTACGAAATGCAAATACTGTGATACAGGATAGCTGCTTCAGTGCTCAGACGTAATGAGACAGCGTAAGCCAGGTTTACTCCTTTCCCTCTTCTGCACGAGGCAAGCCGAGTCAAATGCCTGGCTGATGCTGTGAACCCGGCGTAGGATAGAAATGGGAAAACATCGCTCGTTCGGGGACGACTAGGGAAAAATGACGGTTGCAATCGCTGGTTTCAAACTCCTTTCATGTCAGAAGAGGCACTTAGGGGGTCTATTGACAAACCTACCTACTGAGCAAGGTTTTCCGTAAAGTGTCGAATCAAGCAGGACTCCTCTCAGCTGAGATAGGCAGTGACTGATTCGGTGTCGGGCAAGCCATGTAATGGCCCAGTGGATATCGGCCCGTTCAAATTCACCAGCTGGATCGGGAAACGCCTTGTGAGGTTCATTTGCTACTCCTAAGTTACTGGTGTCCGCTAGGACTGGCGTAGTGGGCGACTTGGGATCCTCTTGTTGGGGACTGCTCGCCTCGGGGCCAGAGCCATGAAGATTATTTCGACATTCGTCTTGCTGGCAAGAACTGGTACTCAAACTACCATGAGCAGTAGGTTTTTCTCCGCCCTCAATAGTGCGTGAATTTATTGTCGGAGTTGTTGATGCCTCGGGACGCGTATGAACCTGTTTCACGCGTGGAGTCATGTCGACATACGTCAACCGACCTAGAGGATGAGCAGGCAGTCAGAATAGGGATAGCGCATATACAATGTGATGTGGCTCACTAACACTTGCTGCTGGAGCCAACCCATGTGTGATCAGATGAAAAATCGTATGCCTGTTTTGGACGAGTCGTCGGTCGAAAACGAAGCACCAAGGCGACACGGTTGCACGATGCTCCAGTCCATTTGCAAGATTTGCATGGTGTATCGCCGCTGCCTATTGCGCTTAGATGTTAGTTCAGCCGGATTTCCAACTGTGTGAAGCCATAAAGGTCCCCACAGCGAATATGATGATCTTCCACGGTGTTAGCAGGTAAACAATCACCGTTTGGAATGGGATTGAAGGAACGTACCTCTGCACCTTGCACAGGACTTGACTGTGTTGTCCGCGACTTCATCATAACCTCAAGCTTACCAATCAACAGAGGGCAAGGGTAGCTGTCAATTGGCCGATAGACTGGAAATCCAAAGAAAGCTTGGGGGAATGCGGAGAAAGAGGAGACCCTTGCCTGATCGGGCCAGGTGATGCGGGGAACCTGCCTGAGATGTAAGGCATGATGGAGGCATTCAGGCACCAGGAAAATATCACGTGTGATACACGATACTATAGGATATGGACTAAGAGCTGCTTTGACGTCAGTCATGATATGTTGACTTTAGATAACATTGAGTTGTCATGGTTTGAGAACATGGAAATGCAGGACGACCATACATGTAGAGTCCGGCCAGTCTGGAAATAAAGCTCAGGTATCTTTCATAACAAGGCTGCCCTTGGCTTGCTTTGCACACCATGAACCGCTACTAACACCTAGCCATGTCAAAGTATATCTCATATTTACCTCTCTCAATAGCCTAAGAGATCTCTGAAGTGAATAAAGTGTGAAAACGAGCCCACCGACCAGCTGGTGACGAATTCAGCAGATACGGCGACTAACACCAGTTTCCATTACCAGATCTCTCGTTTGCTTCTCGCTCTTCACATCTAGACTCTCTTCTCTAACAGTCGCCCTGGTAGCAGTGTGATTGTTATCCAAATCTGACCAGTAACACAACCCTACTTTCCCGAAAAGCCCTCGCCCTTCCACTCATATACTCCTTTCCTTTCATCTGTCTATCCTCACTCACAGCTTCGGATCCTCCACTATACTCCTCACCTCTTCACCCATCACTAGCTACTTCCACACCATTCTACTACTGCGTACAGTTCAGCCACGGTACCAAGATGATCTGGTCATCGGAAGCAGACGCCAAGGTAAGCCAGTTACCCTCACATAATGTGTGCCACGGTTATATACAAGGCTAACTTTTCAAGCTCTTCGTGGGTGTCTTGAATCAGTTGCGCGGAAAGTTGAAGCTCGACTATCAAGAACTAGCTACGCATATGGGCGGAGGTACTTTCTGCCCTTTCTCAGTTTTAAATGAAGGATATATACTGACCAACATAGATTGCACCTCCTGCGCCGTTGAGCAGCGCATGATACGGCTCAGGAAGCAGGCAGCCAGCGCATCCCCAGCAGCGTCCACTGGCACTGGTGGTGGAACTGCTAATACCACCCCGACTACAACCCCAAGGAAGCGTAAGGGAGATGGTCTAGCCACCCCTGCGAAGAAGAAGACCAAGACAGTTGCTGCTGCGTCTGCCAAATCGGAGGTCAAGAAGGATGATGCCACTACCGTCAATGAGGATGGAAAGGCTGAAATCAAGGTCAAGCCAGAAATTAAGAATGAGCCTATGGAATGATGGTCTGCTAAGGCTCGGCCGTTATCTATGTCTTCCTATGGATGTCTGGGCGACGGCATTTTGTATTGATCTACATACGGGGACAGGAGAATGCTGGTGGGATAGACCTTGCTTGATGGATGGAGATAGTAGCAATAGGAAGATATAAGCACTGCATCATACGATTAAGTGATTCCACGATTAATTTACTTCCGTCGCCATGTAAAGACATCAAAAACGACCTAGGATAAACAAATTATCTCTATGGACAGTCAGCCTGTAGGTCAAGACGGGATTATAACCCACAGCCATGACACCCTAGTTCTTGTCCTTCGCTGCAGACGAGATATGAGCCTCAACACCAGAATCGTCCGATACCTCCTCCTCCTTGACCATCTTCTTTGTCTGGCGATTCTTCTTAGGGGTCGGTGTGGTAGGCCCATCCTCTGACACCTCCTCTTCCTTAACCTTCTTGGTTAGGCGTCTCTTCTTGGGGGTTGGTGTAGCAGAGCTATCATCGGCAGGGCGCTTCCCATTCATACTGAATGAAATACCGGACTTGATCCCCTTGCGATATTTGGCTAGGTGCTCCTTCAGGGCCTTTGCCGTGGGTTTATCATCACCGGCTGTTGCAGTTAGCATCCATTGTTTCCTGATATTTGTTCATATGAGGGCAGAAGGTGAAATGGACTTACGCCAGCCTTCGGCAATCTTGTCCAAATCTAGAGTCAGAGTCTGGGTTTCAAAAATGGTCCGCCATAGCTGGTGTTTCCTGGGTTAGGTAAAGTGATGATTGGGTATCTGTTCAGGGACACGGTACCAGTTCCTCATTTTCTGGGGTCCAACGCATGGTTGATGGCCGATTGGCTCGGATGTGATGTAAGGGGAGAGCTTGAGGTGAGGAGTATCAGAAGTTATAGAGTGCGAGGTAGTTTAAGTGTAGCCGGAGCGGAGAAAGTCTTGAGACAAGATATAGGAGCTATTCTGTGTTCCAGCTGAGACGCACCAAGGCGAACCAGCCTTTGGTAGAGGTGGTTCGGCGATCAAGTGTTTGTTGTGCAATGAGATAGTATTCTGACGCAGCAGCGCAAGAAAGACGGGCCATTAAGATGTGCGAGTTTAGTATTCACTAGCTAGCAGTCACTGTTTCGTTTCCCGGGCAAGCCAGAAACAGCTGTGCAAAAGTAGACAAGGCAATCGATTCTCTGTGAAAGAGAGACATGGTAGGCGTATGCGGGATAACAGAGACACCAGATATATCAGCTCATAGGGTAGCATATCCATTCGGATCTCGACACTGTATAGTACTACATGAGAACTAACGTGAGACACTTCAAAAACACGTGCCAGATGATGGGAAGGTAAGGGTTGTCGTTTTGTCCGTTGAGATGACCGCCATTATCAGTGTGTCCCAGACATGCTGCACGGTGGAATAATCAAACCCAATGTTGAGTACATGGCATGCAAAGGACTACGTTACTCATACAAAACAATGGCGACTTGATTGACAAGGCGAACATTGCAATAGACGTCGGTAGTGTCATTAGTTGTATAGCAAGCCATCATTCAGTTTGGTTATTTTCTCGGGTGCAAAGTAAGGCTTAGTTAGGTCAAGGTGAACTAGTAGCCTTAGGCCCAGTTTTGTTAAGAACTGGCTATAATAGCGTGATGTTATTGAGCAAGGGTGAGTTGCAAATCGATCGAGATTCGAGAATCTGCCCGAGATCTAAGTTACTGACTAACAAAAGGGTGATTGATTGGCCCGTCGCTGACCTAAAAAGGAAAGGCGCGCTGCAAGTGCCAGGCATGCAGGCATCCATGGTTTTATGCACGCCTCGAAAGGTGCCAAAAAGTATATCCCCCTGTCCTCTCACCACCATCTTGTCAGTAGTATCGTCCGGATTTTGCTAATTCTTGCAAGATTTTAGGCTGTTAATAATATTCGCGCATGGTCTGACAAAGCTTCCTATCATCCCAATCACACCAACAAGTTAGTTTCATCCTTGGTGGGAATCGCGGGACTAGTGCGTGGATAGCCGCAATAACGACCACAATGCTAGTGCCTTGAGGTGGAGAGGTAAATCGGGATGACCCAGCCATTCGAAAACTCATCATTTGCGTTAAGTTGGCTTTGGTCCTGATTACCCCGCTACGCCTATTTGTTGCAAACTTTGCTTCTTCGCTTTCCCCTCTCAATTTCAAGCAGTCCAATATCCACCATGGCCTCTTCCACCGTTGTCCTTGTCCCTGGTGCCTGGCATCAGCCGTCCTGCATGCGCCAGCTGCAGGATGAACTGACAGGCCGGGGGCTAAACGCCATCACTGTTGCTCACCCGTCCATTGGCAACACCTCACACCCGCTGAAGACCTTGGTGGATGACAGGGCGAGTCTGCATGCCGTCATCGAGGAACTCGCTGATAACGGCCATTACGTGACTGTGGTAGCTCACTCTTATGGAGGTGCAGTTACCTCGGGCGCATCTGAAGGGTTGGGCGTCGCCGAGCGACGTGCGGCTGGCAAGCCAGGTGGGGTCGTTATGATCGTATACCTTGCAGCCTTTGTAGTCCCTAAAGGCCAAACGATTCTCGGTTATTTCGGTGGTGTTGCCCCATCCTTCTGGGAAATTAAGGTTGGTGCTGTCAAGTTAATTGAGCCATTCTGCGTGATCGATTCTGAATAGTTGTTGGACCAGGGTGACTTTATCTATGCCAACAATCCGACCATCAGCGATCCGGCCAACCTCTTCTACAATGACCTCCCCAGCGACGTCCAGGATTATTGGATCTCTCAGCTCCTCCCCATAACAGCGGGGTGTTCCCAAGTACCCAACACTTACGAGCCGTGGAAGTATATTCCATGCACATATATCAAAGCCAAGCAGGACCAAGCTCTGTCACTGGAGATGCAGGAGAACATGATCGCCACAATGGAATCCGTTACGACCCGGACCCTGGACTCTTCTCATTCGCCTTTTTTGAGCATGCCCCGTGATGTCGCCGAGCTGGTCCAAAACTCGGTTGAGGAGGGACTGGAAAAAGCCACTGGTTTTGGTATTTCCACCGCATGATTTGTGTTAAAATCTGTTTTGAATGGCACTTCTTTCTATGCACACTTCGAAATTGTATCATCAGCTTGAACCATGTTATAAAATATATCCACTATGATCATCCAAATATTGGGATACGATGCCCTACTGGTGATACATCTCAGCACTTCAGAGCACATTAGCACCTGTGATCATAGCAACGAATCTGACTAAGATCCTGAGATCAGCCATCTCACAATCAGCTTGGAGAACTATTCAAAGGTTCATGTCAAGCACGAGGAAGTAGCGCAACCTGCTAGCGGCCGTTATGCCGGCTAGTAACCAGGATATTCGTGGCTAGTGATAGCTTTACAAGGTCTTCTTCTTGTCGGCTTTTGTTTAAAATGTCGCCACGTCTGCGTGGTGTAGCCTGACAGCGATACTCACAGTATACTGTTTTGGCCCACTTAACAGCGAAAACATTGACTTAAGGAAAGGTGCAATTAGCTAGACCTCGCTAGTACTTCCAGTGACCCTCCGGAGGCGGTGAGGTGAGGATCTGGATCTGCCTCCCCGGCGCTGCCTCGATTCTCTCCACTCCTTCTACCCTCTGCCTCTAGCCTGAACTCATCATTCGTTAATCTATCCATCCAATGACTGCAGATCCTTCGCAGTACACCAGTGGGCGTTCTCTTTTACTGTCCCATCATAAAGGGAAGAAGACCGTGGTTGCTTGTGACCAGTGCCATCGCCATAAACTCAAATGCTCTCCTCGATCCCAAGGATGCGCCCGCTGTCATCGTACGCCTCCACTTCCCGCTGCCTCACCCGGCCATTTCTGATCAACCCCAGGATTAGGGATACATTGCACTTCCAGTCGCCCGATTATGAGACGCGGAAGGCGACCAACTAGACAAACGCCCCCAGTCATACCTCCTCAACTATCGGAACATCCATTGTCGGTGCGGCCCATGACACCCCCCCCCCCCCGGCTTATGTGCAGATGTGCTGAACCCGACTGCAGGATGCACCTGATTATCCTGTATTGGACTGTCTTTGCAGTCTGCAGATTTTGACGTCGGAACAAGCCACGCCCAGGTATTCCCCCCACTTCCATCATGCCTTGGAGCCTATCACGCTCACCACAGACAATAGCGCTTCCCCGCTTCAACTTTCACGTTTCGAGGCCTGTCGTCTGTTGGAGCACTTCTATGCTTCACCCAATCAAGAATTTCATGCCTTACTCATCCGAAAATGCAGACTCCTAGATCAGTGTGCCCCAAGGCCCATACTGCCAACCCTGCTACTTTCAATCCTATGTACGATTACGGACTTCTCCCGAGCAATGAACCTTCAGCCATCTTATACGCTACAGGTGTCGCTTGTTTCATGCCGTCGGCGGAGCAGTCACTTTATGTATCCGAACGAACAGTTAATCAGCGGATGGCTCAAGGACGCTATCTCCTTGACAAGCTAATACAGCATTTTCACCCCAGGACATTACCCGATACTAATCATGTGCTCGATGACGCCTTAACGGCATTTATTATGACAAGTATCGCCCCGAGCGAAAGATCGGTCGAGTCGAGTTTGCAATACTGGCTTATATTTCTCAGATTTGTTGTTCAAAAGTTGGAGCTACACAAAGATGTACCCAATCTTAGTCAGGATGATAAAGAGGAACGGAGGAGGTTTGTCCTTAATGCCAGAATATACATTAGCCACAAGGTCGTTGATATTGAGATCATGACAGGTTATGGTGGGCAACCTATATCATAGATCGACATGCGGCTTTGTCATTCAACGGACGACCGCGAATCACCGACAATGAATGTCTGTTTCTCCCGATTCCACGCCCTGATGCATTATGGAATCAGCCTGGCCCATTACTTCCCCAGGGTCAAAAGCCAGGCGCGCATGAAACAGTACTTAGCTATCATGTTGGGAATCTGGATATGCTAGGGCTTTTCCTGCCTCTTTCAAGGTAGGATTTCCTGTGGTTCGCCAATTTCATGCCGTCGTATCTGAATCTAGTGCAGGATTCTGGGCGAAATCTTGGAATATCGCTTCCTTAGCGACCATTCAACATTTAACACATGCCCTGATCTTTTGAACACGGTGCAAACGAATATTTTGCAGAACCTCAGGTTGTGGTATCAATCTTTTGAGGCTCTTGTAGGCTCGGAGTTCAGATCGATTGCTGAGCCAGATTGCCATTCATGTCCGGTAGCAGAAGTCCCACCAGTGGCCTACTATGGATTTCACATGTACCACTGCATGTTTGTATTACTACATGGTCCAATGGACGTGGTGCGGATGTATCAAGACCTTACATGGCAGTCTTCTGCCGACTTTCTGACAGCCGGCGAGCATGCTGTAGCTTGTGCAAATGTGAGTCACCACTAATTGCGTTGGCATATTCTGAAGAAGAACCCGACGTTCTATCTTTTAGTACACACCTTTGCTCACATGAATTCGATGAAGGTTGCCCGACACATATTGCGGATCGATCCACAATTGTCTCTGATGTATAGATTCTTCGGGACCTACTTTTTACAGTCTTCATTCATCTTTCTCATTCTGGCACAAAAGCTGGGGAAGCAATCAGACGACTTGATCTTACGCAATTGTTCTATAAATCTACAGGTTTTGGATATGTTTGTAGCTGCGACAAACATGGACTACCAACGCATGTTTGCCAAGCTCTTGCGCCGGACACTGTCATTCAATATGGCTGAATCTTCCGGGGATATTGCCCCCGACCATAGTCAATCGATGCCAGGATTTACTGGTGTCCCGCAATTATCTTTGGATCCAGAAATGCTTCGTTACCGCTGGGCCCCAGGCTATAATGGATTGTGGGTTGGCCCAATTAGCTGAAAATAGATCAAGCATACCGTCTATTCACATCTGTATTGAAACCCGCACTGCCAGGCCTTCCCGAAGAGTTATAAGGGGTCTAACAATTGCCATTAGGCTACCAGAGCTTTATATAATATGGCTTGGTCCAGTTATGGCTTGTATGGCCTGCTGGGCAGAACGCCAATGTCTACCCAGGACCCGGAATCTGTGCAATCTATCCGTCCAAGTCTGATCCGAGTCCATGTGGACTGTTGATATGGTTCGGCCACTGCCGTAGACAGTTGCGTTACCAGTCTCGATATCGGGAGATGGGGCTGTGATGAACCGGATCCAATCTCTCTGAACGCGGTCGACAAGGGCGGCGTTTGTCGGTGCTTCGGCTGGCAGGGCCTCGTCTGCAACTCTTATTGCATCTGCGAAGCAATTAAAAATATATATCAAGTCGACGCAATGCTGGGCAATCCCTTGCCTGGGTCCCGGAAATGGGTTGCCCACACTCATGCGATACGAGTGCACCGCAGTAGGACGGGGAACGATAGGACTTTCTGTATGCTTATTTCTGGACGCTTCCCAATCCCTTAGTTCTTGTCTGGCACATTGCACAGGATACCCGAACTGTATATCCGTCAACAGCTGAAGCACCCGTGTTCTAAGCTCCGTCGGGGAAATGTCTGGGTGGAAGCCGTAGGCCTGGTATAGTTCTTCCAAGAACTCCCTCGACTCCACCCCTGCATATAGTTGTTCGCTCAGATGCTCATAATCTCTGATTTTATTTACCTCGTTCATATGTAAAAGTCCCTGTTCTCTGTAAGCATATGATATTGACCCGGTGCGATGGACTGACTGACCTCGACATCGGTATCACCGATCAGAACCGGAATGACCTCGGTCCCCGAGGCCGGTATTTCTGTAACAGATTCACTCTCGGGGCCATCAAGGTGAACTTTCCAGCGACCATTTGGCCTTTGTGAGATTGTAAGACCATCTTCCACTAAGGGACAGACAATGGAGCCCAACTTGCCAGCTGCTTGCAGGATCTCCGCTGGCGGAAGGTTAGCCATGAAAGCCATTCGGGGAATAGTATCGCCTGCGGGAGCTCCTGCATGCTGACAGAAAGCATTCCAGCGCGCGTTGGAGACGTCCATCGATATGGGACCGAGCACACCAAGAGTTCCCGATTGAATGATTCCTCGCTGAACCAGGGGCTCGCCTCTGCCAATAATAGCCTCCAGGACGTGGGCATGCGACGAGCTTCCACCCGCTGATTGACCTCCGACGGTGACCTGGGTGGCATCACCGCCGAAAGCACCAATGTTCTGACGCACCCAACGAATGGCGGTTCGCTGATCGCTCAGGCCGAAGTTGCACCCTTTCCTCTGATCTTCCGGTTGGGCTTGAATGATCTCGGATGAAGCCGCGAAACCAAACATGTTGAGGCGGTAGTTGATGGTGGCCACAATGATGGGAGTGCCTAGCTCAACTGATTTCTTAACGAGGCGAGCCGGATCTATTAGGCAGTCAGTGGTACTGTGGCTGATCACACCTAATCCTCAAGCTACCAACTTACCCCACATCGGGTCTGTTCCTGCACCGAAGCTATACGCTCCTCCATGAATATACACGTATACTGGCAATTTCACTCCCTGCGCGTTGAAACCGGCTGCAGCAAGGATCGCAGCACTGGGTCTTGTTATGAACAGATTGAGACAGTCGAACTCCGACTCTGTTACGTCGGCCGGGAACTCGAGATGAGATTGATACTCGTCGGTGTTGTTAGGTTCCTGCGGCTGAGGGCAACGAGGACTGAAGCACAGGTAATAAAGTTAGCGGGCTATAGTCCTGCACACCCCGAAGCATCAAGTCGACCTACCCGTTTCGTGTTGCATCAAATTCATCCCGGGGTAAGCGATCACGGAGCAATGCATGCTGCCATCTCGCCGGCACAATCCCATACGGGATCCCTCGAAACTCCTCGATTCCTGAGATGGGTGATTTTCGACCGATCACCCGCTGAAAATATGAGGGCGAGGTTTGCGTTGGGACAATGACGACTACTGGGTCGCTGGACGAGGCGGGAGCCTGGTCAGGATCCTCGGGCACCCGAAGCTGACGCACTGCAGCAGCCATAGTGTCTGTCTGAAGGAGGGAATAGCAATAAACAGGTGTTTGCGGTCCCGAGAAACATGGTCGGCGCGGCTAATGATTTATACCTGTCGGGATCGACCATCGTGGAGTTGCATCCCTAGGGTGGATCCCCCTTGTTTCCGTTTGCTGTTCGCGGCCGTCCGCATCCCAAGCTAATCCGTCCCATATCCAATCAGCATCGCTGTTCTGACCGCGCCGTTGAACTCTAGTCGGTGAATTACGCTGCTAGTATTCGGGCAATTTCCTTCTTTACGGCTGGGATCTCATCCATTCGGTCGGCTGACAGGGCTTCTCCGCAACCCCGGCTTTGGGGACGAGAAAAATCTGGGGTGAAAAGGATAAACTCATCCCCAAGTTGTCTCACTATAAAAAGCACATCCTGACAGCGCCCATTGCACAATGTCTTGCTCTCTCCTTGTGCGATCAAGTCGGTTATCCGTCTGGCTGTCTAAATACTCTCTTCACTATGACGGCTCCAATGTCAGCTGCGGCTGCCGCCCGAGTTGACTGGCGTGCCATTGCAATCTGCCTGTTCATCACCATTGCAGCCTTTCAATTTGGCTTCGACTCATCCTATTACTCTGGTGCGTCTGCAGCCTTAACCCTTCTGCTGACCAGCGACCCGCTGAAGACCATGTTACTGGCGGACCTGCTTTGATTACAGTACACTAATACACATCCCTATAGGTATACTGGTGATGGAGCCCTTCATCAAAGCCTATGGACATTATGACAGTGCAACCGGCGGCTATGTCCTTAGCTCTAGCATTCAGTCCCTCACCACCAGTATCATCAATGTCGGTGAGCTCGTCGGAGCCGTATCCTCATACCTTGTCGATGACAGAATCGGTCGCCGAGGGGGCTTGTTTGTTTCAAGCACATTTGTTGTCTTGGGGGTGATCTTTCAGGTCTCCGCCGATAAACTTGCTCTGTTAATTGTTGGGCGGCTACTCCTAGGTCGGTACTTATTCATTGACCGAGGCTGTACCACCGCTGCAGTCGCCGATACGTTGCAACTGTTACTAACCGATGCGTAGGGTATGCCGTGGGTCTGATTTCGTGCTTGGTTCCGCTATATGTCGCCGACTGTGCCCCGGCCCGGTTCCGTGGGGCTCTGGTTTCTCTCTACCAATTCGATGTTGGTCTTGGACTGCTACTGGGTGTCATCGTGGACAATGCGACCAAGAATCGGAACGACAGCGGCGCTTATCGGATCCCCATGGCGGTTCAGCTGGTCTTCCCAGTTATTTTGGTCCCGGGGCTTATCTTGTTTGCCCCTGAATCACCTCGCTGGCTCTTGAAGAAGGGGAAGACGGAGCAAGCCCGTGCAGCTCTCCGTCGCTTGCACGGCAATCGACCCGACGTGATCGAGAGCGAAGTTTTGTACATATCCGGGACACTCGAAGAAGAACGTCGCGCTGAAGGCTCGTGGAGGGAGCTACTACACTGGCATCAGGATGGTCGCAAAGCATACTTGGGTATGGCACTACAAGGTAAGATGGAAGGCCCTTCTCCTTCTATTGTTTTCCGATACTAAATGTCTTCTCCCCATCAGCATGGCAACAAGCCTCTGGAATCAATTTCATCACCAGCTACGGAATCGTTTTCTTCTCGGCTATCGGGATGACCAATTCATTCCTGATCCAGATGGGCTTGTATCTGGTCCCCATGCCCGCGGTATGGCTGAACCAGTACTGCGTCGAGCGCTTTGGCCGTCGCCCTATGCTTCTTCTTTCGTGCGTCCTTGTTGCCATCGTGCTTCTGATTGTCGGCGGGGCCGGAACAGCATCCCATAAAACTATGACTCTCGATCGATTGATTGTCGCCATGGTATACATTTACATGATCGTGTATAATCTTTCCCTGGGCCCCGCCGTTTGGGTCGTTACCTCGGAGATTGCTGCCGGACCGAACCGCAGCAAGTTGATGGCTACGTCGACGGGAGTCAATTGGTTTTGCAGCTGGATGGTGACTTTTACCTTCCCATATCTCTTCGACAGCGATGCTGCCAATTTGAGCGCCCGAGTCGGCTTCATCTACGGTAGCCTGATGGTCGCAGCAACGGCTTGGATATTTTTTCTGCTTCCGGAGACGGCCGGACGCACGTTGGAAGAGATACAAATCCTCTTCAAGAATGGTGTCTCCGCCCGCAGCTTCAAATGTATGACAAATATTCCCCCTTGCTTATTGTTAGGCAACAATGTGACTAATTCATCTTTTTGCAGCTTATGACATCCCCGGAGCGCCAGGTGACTTTGTCCTCGAGGAGAAAAAGGAGGCTCATGCGACTGAGGTGGAGGAGGTATAGGGAGGGGTACCGGACGTGACTCACTGTGAGTGTATACTGGGCACCGATGATTGTGTGATATTTTAGATATGATGTTATTCGGTGATCAGTTGCTGCTACCTAGTTCCTCTCTCGCTTGCGATAAAGCGTTTCGTGGCACACAAATTATAATCTGTTTTCTGGCATTGGTTTAAAGCAACAATAGACTTCGATGTTCCAGTACCAGTTACTAATGCATTTTATTCTTGTTAAAAGCGTAAAGAAGATGTGTCTAGTTGCACCATTGCCATACTTACTAATATCTACCCGGTGCCAGACTTTGTTTGGGCTCGGCCGGACCTCGGGTAAATGAGGTTTCTGTCTGCTACACGAAAGCGCGCGAATTGAAGCGAACCATCATTGTGGTATTGAAATAAGTTCGACGTTGACTCTTAAGGGTCTGCAGTGTCGGCAGGCTCCGACAGGGGGTGATTAGATCAAACGATAGCGACTATGGTGATGGTAGTCATAGTTGGACTCTTCACCGTCTAAGAAAGAAATCGACCATGGAACGACCCTATGCAAATGACATCAGCGTGTGAATTTTGCTCAACGATGTTTACCCGTCCCTGAATCCCAAAGTTTATTATGCGAACGAAACGTTAATAGCATTAGGCTCGCATTTCTCCATGTTCTGCGACCCTGAACCGTCCACTGAGACGAGGGCGTGGTCGGATCGCCCGGTTGATCGACCGTGGCTGATTTTTGGGTCCGAGGGACATTGTTTACTTGAAACCACTTATCGTCGAGGAAACCATGCATTGATTGCTTGGCAATCGGATCTGTCGAGTTTTCTCGAAGACAAACACGGCGAACTTAACCTCGAAGTCAGGGTCCTGGAGTAGGCGACCCAAAAACATGGTCGGGATATGTAACACGCCGTTGGTGCGCCGGCACAGGACCCCTAATCCAGGGTCCTTGGCTCGTGGTTTGCAAAAATTGGTCGGTCCCTTTGCCCTGAGCGTCTATATACTCTATATCAATGCTTCTGCCTGAAACAATGAAAACAGTCTATTTCTCTGGGCATCGGCACACTAATGGGTTCACCATGTGATGTGCTGGGCGAGTGGGATAGACCTGAAGGATAAATTTCAGTCCTGCTGCCCAGGCGATTGGCATCGATTAGTGAAGTTCCTTCTCATAGCAGCACCAAGTGAACACCGCAATGAAGCTTCTATCCATTCTGCTCGGGCTGGCAGGTCTTGCTGCTGCGAGTCCCATGGGACTTGCTGAACGTCAACGTAAGCATATACCACCATGCCATGATCACAGCGACCCCGGCTAATTGTTTAGTTTCCGATGGCAACGAACTGCGCGAGGGTTCTTGCAAGCCCATTATCTTCATCTTTGCCCGAGCATCTACTGAGCCTGGCCTGCTCGTAAGTAACTCGGTCATTCTCACCTGATCAAACACTCGAAATACTGACGAGAATCCAAGGGTATCTCCACTGGTCCTGCTGTGTGCAACGATCTCAAGATGGCCAAAGCTGGCCAGGTCCTCTGCCAGGGCGTGGGGCCCGCATATACGGCTGATCTCATGTCGAATGCACTTCCTGACAACACTTCCCCGGCTGCCATCAGCGAGGCGGAGAGTCTCTTCAAGCTGGCTGCTTCGAAGTGCCCTAACAGCCAGATCCTGGCTGGTGGGTATAGGTTAGTGGCTCTTCCATACCCTTCCACCACACCTTATGCACATGCTAATTTTCATACAGTCAAGGAACAGCCGTGATGGACGACTCCATCAAGCAGCTTTCTGACGACGTCAAGGACAAGATCAAGGGCGTTGTTCTGTTTGGCTACACTCGCAATGCCCAGGAGGGAGGTCAAATCGGCAACTTCCCCAAGGACAAGGTCAAGATCTACTGTGCCATGGGTGATCTTGTCTGCGATGGTACCCTCATCGTCACCGCCGCGCATTTCACCTACGTCATGAACACGGGTGAAGCTTCTCAGTGGCTGGAGTCTAAGCTCAGCGACACCACCACTTCTTCGTTGACTGATTCGTCTTCATCTGGTACCTCTTCGAGCACCTCGACCGGTGATTCCTCTTCGGAGTCCTCATCCGCAACAGGACTGGGTGGACTGAGTGGTCTATCTGGCCTGGGCTCGTCTACGTCTGGCGGTTTCCCTTCTCTGGCGTCGCTTTTCTAAGCCGCCAAATCTAGATAGGCTAGAGTGGCCGTGGTGATGAATCGATGATCTCAGCCTGAAGGTTCTCCGGTTTTGGTATATGAGTTTAAAAACCTTATGATGCTTCAAGCTTTACATCTACATACATTGAACCGCATGTCCGATCGAAGTCGAGGTGGATTTTGCGAGTTCATGAAGCAAGCTGTTTGATATTAGATTTTTCTCTCTCATGCTGTTTCGTCCCCACCTTATATTATTTCATGAGATCAGGAGTGGACTTTAGAACACTTACACGAGTATAATGAACCTACTTGAGATTTCATTCCGTGTCTTGTGTCCGTCTCGGTGGTTGAGAAATCTTGCCGTGCGACCAGCCACATCAACGAAGCGAAGTAGATGACAGACAGTCATGTTTTGGTTCTTTGACCGTGAAAGAATCTTTGATGCTACGTCGAATTAATCATTACGTTCTAATTAGTCAAAGAATGCACTATCAACTAATATGCTTCAAAGTCCGAGCCCGTGAATACCCACTTGGTTGCGACACTTTTTCCCCTCCGACAAGGACGACTAGAAAAGTAATCCTACTTGACCGTCAAGCTATATCATGTTTCTTTTCGATGAAACTGTAGTTTTGGAATTTCCTTTCTTGCGACGGATATTTCATAACAGCGAATAAAGATTGAAGATAATCGACTGGAATTAATAATGAAGACTCTCTAGCTGAATGTGGGATCGCGATGTACAGGTGCTGCCTGAGGCATACTGTGCCATATCGCAGTGCCTCATAGGGAGATGAAAGAAGTAAAGGCGCCCTACTAATCTTATCACCAGCTTATAAGTTGCCTTAACTGCAACTCCCAGGGGTTTCCCTTCCAGGACTGGCAATGCTTTTTGAATGAATAATCCTGAGAGACGCCATGTTGACTACTGGGCAAACCAAATAAAAGGCTTGGTAACATTCGGGGGCCACACGTTCGGTCTGTATGACCGGTGATCGCTTACAGGAGTAACCCGTTAATAACAACTATAGATCTCGTGTGCTGAACAATTCTTTTATCGGGGTGGGTGACCTTTTCTCCTCTCTTTTTTAGAAAACATGCTCATGGCTGTCACGAACGGTAACATCTCGGTGAGCCTCGTGGGCTAAGTTGAAAACGCTTTGCGTGATTGTTGTTGACTCCTCTTCGGTTAATATTCCAGGATTTGTAGAGTGAATGGATCATTTCAAAGCTTTCTTTCGTTCCAGAACCAGGTCGATGGGATGCAAGAGGTCCCACAAATGGGTGATCCCTTGTACAGGTCGCGAAAAATAGTTGAATCCCGCTAGGGTCGGAAAAGACGTCTACTTCTGATCTAGCAAAATCGTGTAAAGCTCTTCATCTCTAATCTCCAATATATCACGTCGTGATGGCTGCCTCTTCCATCGTTCGCAGATTTGCCATGAAGTATAATAACAGTGTGGCTGACCTCGTCTCGCTGCATTGTTTTCGGCGAATACCGAATTGGGTAAACTCCGCGAGGTGCGCGGACCCTCTCCCTTTTTTGACTCTGTTTATCGTTCACTTCATGGCGGGCAGGCCGGTCGACGAACTAATAGATAACCCTTTGGAAGTATTTGTCAACATTATGATTTTTCTAAAACTTTATTGGGGTGGATGTTTGTGGATGTCGAGGGTCGATAACCGAACCACATGGCAATGGGACTAACAGCCGGTTCCTTGCATGGTGGAGACCTCAAAGACTGGATTGACTAGGACTGAGATGTGTATGTCGGCAGATCTCCCGGTAAACACTCTGAATGGAATCCTCTGTGTAAGCACGATAGTAGAATGAGGAAGAAACAGAGGGAGAAAGAAGTGGCCAGCAGCACGTGGCCGAGTAAACAACTCCATCACGTGTGGTACTGGTACTGACTTCCCTCTTCCCACCTTCCACCTTCCACCTTCCACCTTCCAACTTCCAACATCACAATCAACTCCAGCTGCTTCTTCATCACCTCCAACTCCCCCCCTCAACTATAGTACTAATTCACCATTCTTGACTCGAGTACCACCAATGATACCTCTTGTTTCTCCACCCCTCTGGTATTGCTTCTAGGGACTTCGGAACCCCCAGCAAAACATACTTCGTATCTCTGCACGACCCATCCCCAGCAATATCCATTAGTCACAATCCTCCCTGGTCTGCTCTCCCCTCCATTGCATCTAGGCAGCAGTGTGGCCTGATAGGAAGTCTCTGACTGACTCGAGAATCGATAGTTTTGCGCCTCCCACGCCAAGCTCTGTCCACCACGTGGGAGAGACCCCCCCGGACGACAGAATACTCGATACACAGCATCCAGGAATGGCACCATGGACTAACCTCCACTGAATCGGCTGGTTCTGACTGGCCTCGTCTCGCATCCATCGACTCGCCGTACCAATCAAGCTAGACCTGGTCTCGCCCTGGTGGAGTGGTGCCAGTTAGCGGAACGGCGGCGCGGGTGGAGAACCATGGAATCTCTCCTTCGGAGCAAATTCCACGCCTTCCGGGCGCGGCTTTTCCCTTCTTCACCCGCGACCCGTTTAAATAGGGACCCCCTGCTGCGTGGCCATCATCATGCCGGCTCTTGTTCTTGCACGCCTCATCCTCAATTCCTACACTGCCATTCTCCATCATGGGCTTGATGCGCAAGACTGCTGACCAGGCCCTGGGCCTGACCGCCACCGCCCTGGCTCTGGTCAGTGCCGCCCAGGCCACGGCCCCGTCCGTCACCATCTCCCAGGGTCTCGTCCGTGGCTTCGAGAAAAACGACACCAATGTCTTCCTGGGCATCCCGTTTGCCGAGACGACCGCTGGTGAAAACCGCTGGAAGGCCCCCAAGGCTCTGTCGTGCTTTGCCAGAGGCGAGTTCAATGCTACCACCTATGGCCCCTCGTGCGCCCAGGCCATGTCTGGCACCGCCATCACGGCCCAGAGCGAGGACTGCCTCAGCCTGAACATCTGGACTCCGCTGAGCGGTAGTGATCTGCCCGTCTTCGTTTATATCTATGGCGGAGCCATGGTTACTGGTGGCAGCAGTAACGCCCAGTGGCAGGGCTACAACTTCGCCCGCAAAGACGTCATCTATGTCAACTTCAACTACCGCGAGAGCATCTACGCTTCGCCCAATGCCCCGGAACTTGAGGGCCAGTCGCAGAACTTTGGCATCATGGATGTGGATTTGGCCGTGCAGTGGGTTTATGACAACATCGAAGGTATGCTTTCTAGTTCCACTGCCATTGAGTCACTGTTACTAACCGACGGCGCAGCTTTCGGAGGAAACAAGTCGAACATCGTGCTGGGTGGTCACTCCTCTGGCGGTGTGCATGTCGACCATTACCTCTGGAATCACCCGGAGACTTTCCTGGCTGGCGCCGTGGAGATGTCGGCCAACGCTGAGTCCGGTCCGGCCTATGCCCCGGCCGGCGTGGCTCTGGCTCAGGTCGTTGAGGATATGTTGGCGGCCAACGTGACGCTCGACTGTGATGCCAGCAACTACACGCTGGACTGCTTGCGCGAGGTTGATACCTACGCCTTCCAGACCACCTACTTCAATTCCACTTCCAACACCTGGTTCTCCCCCATTGTCGACAACATCACTCGCTTCTCCAACTACACCGACCGTTTTGCTCAAGGCCACTACCCCAAGTCTCTGCCTCTTATGGTTGGTAACTCTGACCAGGAGGGCCGTCTGTTTGCCTATGCCTATGCTTCCGAAAACACCAACTTCACCAAGTGGATCCACACCTTCGACGCGGATGTCGCCTGGGTGCCGTCCGAGGAGCTCTTGGATGCGTACAACAGCTCTGATTACTCATCCGTCTCCTTTGAGAGCGGCGCCTGCTACGGTGATGCCCGTTTCCTCTGCTCAACTGACTACCTTGTCGACGTGCGCTCGAGTGAGCAGCCCACCTGGATCTACCGCTGGTTTGGTAACTACTCGAACGTGCTTGGCGTCGCCGGCATTGGCCCCTCCCACGGCAGTGAGGTGCCTTTCTTCCACGGTGGTAATGAGTGCTTCTCCAAGTTGAGCGACGTTACCACCGCCGAACAGGAGCTGGCGGACTACATGAACGACTGGTTCGTGGCCTGGATCAAGGAGCCCAGCTCCGGCCCCGGATGGGACCAAGCTCAACCCGTCAACGGTCCTCTGGCTCGCCTGGGAGTTCCAGGCAACGAGCTGGCGATCGAGATGAGCACTACCGGCGCCTACAACGGACGCTGCCAGGCCGTATACAAGCCTAACTTCCCTAAGTATCCGGTGGTGCAGAACCCGGTGCTGCTGGATTCATAGAGGATGGAGACGACGTGACGACGTGACTAGCTACGCCGCCGTGGGGCGTGCACTTTTCCGTAAACTAATTTCATTTTACGAGACATAATTTCATATAATGATTTCATTTCCGTGTGTTTGCGTGTGTGTTTTAAGACTATTAAATTTCATTGTATGACCTAATGTGAATGCGGCACTAGCTCGTTTTAGAATGCCTCCGACCTTGGCTGGCTCCAGGCTTGCGCCATCAGCTGGTAGGCTGCAATGCTCGGGTACCAGCTGGCTGTCGGCGGAATCCGTTTCCTTTCACTGCTACTGCTGTCTTCCAGAAAACTTGGAACGTGCTTGTTGGCGTTGGGACTGGATCGATTGTGTTCCTCCCCGTCCCTGGCCCTGAACGGATCGTGACTCGCGCTGGACGATCGCCTGCAGGCCTGCAGGAACACCACTACCAGCCTACGCGGTGCAACGCGGACGATGGCCGAGGGCAACCCTAAATTGCGGGGACTTGATCCGCCGAAGTTCACCCAGCGCCGCAATCAGCATTGATCTGGTGGATCATTGCGGAACCACTATCGAACTTAATTGTTTTGGAACCCAGGAATTCATCTGGAATGTCTTAGACGGGCCCCATTTCCAGGAACCCAGGCACATCGCTGAGAATGACTGGCGGACCAAATGCAAGACAGCACAGTTCCATAGTACCTCCCTCACAGTTTGGGTTTGCCAGGCCCTGGTTCTGGTTGAGCTAAACTTAAACTTCTTCAGCGACAAGCAGCAACCACCACCGAGTGGCCGAGAAATTTTGCCTGGCGACAAGGACCTTTTTCCCCTGGTCCGATAGTTATTAATCCTGGGTTAGCAAGAATGCCCCCCAGATAAGATCCAAAATATGCCTCTTCGTCCTTGCACGTCTCTGCTGTTGTCGTGAGCGTCCGAAGTATCGCACGTCCATCGCCATGGCTCGTCCGGACGTTGGCCAAGTGGTATGAGCTCCTACTGTCAATTTCTGAGACATGTCGGTCTTTCTCGCCTTTAGCTAACCTCTGGTGCTCTTACTTCGCGGATTAGGTGGCATGGTATATCTGCACGGTCGCTGCATGCATCTTCCTCGTGTTTCGGCTGATCATCCGGTGGCGACTCCTCAAAAAGCTCTATCTCGATGACTTCTTCGTTGTTGCCGCCGCGTTGTGTCTGATCGGTGACTTGGGCATTCAGCACTACATGTTCACCCAGGGTTTGTCCTTTCTTTCGCCTACTAGTGCTCCGTGCGACGTCTAACCACCCGTTTCTCCCCACCCACAGGCATGTCAGAGATGGCCAAGACAACCACGGCCGAAAAGATCAACATGCAGAAGGTCAGTATGAGGATCGGGATCTGCATTCCCAAGCATCCACACCTCCGCCCGTTGCTGACTCTGTTCTCCCCCTGCCACAGTTGATCATTCCCGGGTCCACCTTGTATGTCACCTCGCTCTGGCTTATCAAGGCCAGTATGGTGCTGTTCTACAAGCGCCTGGCCGATCGCACCAAGTATCAGACCATCTATAACATCACCCTGGGTGTCCTGGCCGCTGCCTGGCTGGTGCTGTTCTTCGACATCGTCTTCAAGTGCTATCCGCCAGATCGCCAATGGAAGAGCTTTGAGAATCCGGATTGTGAGTTGGAGAGTAACAGGATGCTCCAGTAGATGTTTACTGACTAGCTGCTAGTGACGTGTTCGGCGAAACAGTCGACGATTAACTACTGGTTGACGATCCTATGTATGGGCCCTTCCGTGTCTTGTGTATTGTTGAACTTACAGCTAACCATGCCCCTAGTCAACATCTTCAGTGATGTCTTCAGTAAGACAAGTCCCGACAACGAGCTCATTAAATAGTGAACTAACGTTACAGTCATCTGTCTTCCTATCTCTCAGGTAGCCCGTCTCAAGATGCCGAGAAAGCAAAAGCTCGGTGTTATCTCCGTCTTTCTGCTGGGTGTCATCGTCGTCATCACTAGCAGTTAGTTTTCACCACATCACATAAAGTCAAAGCCAGGCTAACGACACCAGTTATCCGTGCTATCTACTCGCACTTGGGCGAGCAGATGATCACTTGCACGGTCTCCATGATCGAAACTGCCATTGCAATCATCGCATCGTGCCTCCCTGTCCTACGCACGCTGGTCTTCGGCTCCCACTCACGCACCGGCACGTACAGCGGCCGTCGAGGATACGAGCTGTCCAACTCCGGAGCTGCGGGATTGGCCAGCAAGCAGCATACCACGGTGTCCGTATCGCGCGGGGGGGCGGACGAGCTGTCGCGGCATGACTCGGAAGATGAGCTGGTTAAGGAGAATATGTCGGCCGAAGATCCCACTGCGGGCATCTCGGTGACACGGGAGTATTTCGTACATGAGGGCGCAATGGAACGGCAGAGCATGCGGTAGATAACAAACCGGAAGCGTCAGCATCCGCTTATACCATTGAGTTTGGATTAATTGGGTTAAAAAATAGTAATTTATATAATCTCATTCTTCGTCAGTAAACTAGAGAGTATAAGATCTGCACGTCTGGAAGATAGAGTTGCCGATCACAGTGGGACCAGGACCTTAGCCTAACGATGTCTTGTACGATAAACACTAGTGATGATGGTAACGGCCACCATTGTCCGCCAAGGCCCTAGAAGACCGTCTAGAAATCCATCACTGTTGAGTCTTTAATAAAAGAATAAAGTACTACTAGTGTTGCTAGTCGGTTATACACAGGCTAACTTTACGGTGAAAACTAACTACTATCACATTGCCATATTTCCATGATAGGCCTCATAACGGTCAACTTTATTTCTGACCAATTCAATTTGCCATAACCATAGATCTCTATCCAATGTATTATCATTATTTGCAGCAGCATCACTGCATTTTGGTAATGCTTTAGCCGGCCAATAGTTATTATCATCGTACATGATGTGATCGTGAAAGCGAGTAGGTCCATCCGAGGAATAGTATATATATTTCGGCTTCCGAGACCCAAATCTGCACCAACATGATAGAGAGCACTAGTATGTTTCATTACATGTTGTAACTGGCACCACTACCAAGTAAGCCGACTATATTACATTAACACCTTTTTTACACCATTCCTTGTTTTACATCATGCTACAATTACTCAAGCGACAGCTTAATCGCATCATCTTCAGGTCTTTTCAGGGTCCCCAATTCAAGGGTCGCTTACTCATACGGTTCCTATCCATCCCGAGACGGTCATGATCGACATTGCCCAATCGGGCAGGTCTATAGTCTCTCGTCCGATTGGCAGGAAGATTTCGTTTGTCCGACCAATCATTCGGCAATTTGCGAAGGACGAAACCCACAGAGTTTCTGTTTCCGGATGGATTCATAAAACATGAGCAGAGAGATATGCCTGTATTAGTAAGCACGGTGAATGCCTTGTGCAAACTGCACTCATAGTACTCAACTATATCATCAGGATGAGTATCAATGTATTCTGTGGTTGTAGATTGCGAAGATCATTGTGATGCATGGCAATGGAATGCGGGAAATGGGCGGTCTTGTCCTCATGGATATCTCTCTGGTCGGTCGTCGGAGGGTGTAGGTGGTGATCATTATGACTTCTACTGGATTGATTTCTAATGGTAGAGGACCTTATGCATGTTTAGAGCAAAGTACAGCGGGTTGAAGCTTTACAGTGACTATAATCAACCGTATCGGAGGAAGGCTGACTGGATATATATGAAGTACCAGGAAGGGATTTGAAACAATATGAAGTATAGTTCTTAATACTTATCTCTTGACCACTCTATCCATACTGAACAGAATTGACATCTATAAGTAGATTTTTGAAATTTTACATATAGATTTTACTTGCTTATACTTATGACAAGGGGCTTTGGAAAACAAGAATTATAACTTTTTCCATAGTTACCTACATACTGAGGTAGCCCCTGTATCTGAGTTGTTGTGAGTCTGCATAGCTACTCACTTGATGACACTCCAGTGACTCGAGCAGGCTATAATCAAATCAATTTAATCCAATCCGTTTAAACTATATAATCACCTGTGGGGATTTCCGTTGCATATACTGCCGAGCTATGCCTGGTCAAGGCAGCGCTAATAGATATGCTATCGGCCTCTTTATCTTCGTGCATCAGCGTCATTGAGATTGGAATATGCAGAGGCCTTGATTGCGCAGCCGACCCGCACAATTGAGACGCCGATGGCTTCATCACGAATGCTATCGGTGGGCTGTGCAATGCTGTTAAACAGACTTCCTGCACTTCAATTCTTGCCTACGCAATTGCCCTACCGTACTCGTGCCTCACACTGGTAATTAGTATAACTATCAGCTGTGATATAAGACACAGTCTCACAGTTACTGTCTTATTCAAAGCCAATCGAAGCATGTACCAGCATGACTTGGTCTCGGTGAATGCATCTTAATCCGTACGGTCTTCTTCTACTCGGGCTGAGGCATTTCTAACACGCAGGTATAGTCACTGGGCCGAAGAATCCCAGCGAAGGGGCATGAAAATGCCCTTGAGAGCAGGTGCGCATATTGCCCTGTATGCCAGAATCTCCCTGCTGCACTGGTTGGGCTGAAGCTCTATCGCGTCGAGCACATTTCCCAAATAAAACGGTCATTACGCGGGTTTCCAGGCTTTCCCGCAGGTAATTTGAGACAGAGACATGCTAAATGTAGACAAGGATTTCTGTTCTACACCAAAGATAGCCAGTGTCCTGAAAAATGTTGGAACTCTGCTTACGACTATAACCATGGCGCCAGGTATCTGCACTAAAGTTTACGGAATGATTGATTGGCTCCGCATCGCCCACAGCGGCCTGCGTGATATCAACGCACCATGCCGGCTGATATACCTTTTCGCAATGTTTCGTTGGCTCATACGACGCCTGTAGCTCATTCTATGTGGGCTGATTGCCCGAGTTCGAAGAGGGATGATCACTGCTGTTATCGGAGCCTCAGAATGAGGAAGACCACCATGGTTGCACTTTGAGAGCGGTGGTGGAATCTGACGGAATCTGTTGACAATCAAGATGAAGACAACCCTGAAAAGATCATGGTCGATGCTCACACCTCTATAATTCAGACAAAAAGTGGCGGGAGAACGATATCGGAAATGTGCAGCAATAATCCTCTTGTCCGTTACTCAGATTCCCGCCATTGTATTTGGTGGAACCGACAGGAGACAGCCAGACAACGTGAACATGGACACATTGATTCAGGCCTATAATGCAGCCTTCGCAGATGGGTTATTTCCTGTGGAGAGGTGTGACTCCTATAATTGTCTAGTCTAGCCTTTTTTTGATGTAGGGGTACTGCATTATTGTTGATGAAAGAGGTCTCAGTATCAGTGGAGGTCACCGCTAACACCTTGTCATTGCGCGCAGAATGGAGAAAAGTCATGGATCCTAGTCCTGGACGAGCCACGGGGTCGGTTAATGCCGCAGGCGAGAATCTGGCTGAGGTAACAGTGAACCATGCAAAAACCGGCTGCTCAATGATCACGATTACCCATAAACTATTCACGGTTCTCGTGGCATTATATCATCGTGTTGTGACAAGGCATGGATACCCGCCAAAGCACCCAATAACTAGTTCTTGTTCAGGCAAAGTCTATCATACCTAGCCCACGGCAGAAATTGAATCCGATGACCAAGGCTAGAGAGGTAATGTAGAAGAAGAGAGAGAAGAAAGAAGAAAGAGCTTCAAGCCAACAAGTATCCAGTAATCAGCGTGGATTTGGGAAAAGGTCGCGAAGACATTCGCTACTAGACCAAATGCTTTCTGAAGGAGGTTATATTGTTGTAAGCAACCAAAGTGGTCAAAGGCTTCTATTGGTCGTAGATCTCACGAAGTGTGTTTGGTGTAGCGCTCTGAGCTCTGCAATGGTCTGTCAGCTATCCTGAGATAGACACAGCAGGCCTCTCGCTCCAACGTTGGCTCGTCGCGAAGCTGGTCAAGATGTTCTATTGTTGAGGTTCAAGGTTGTTTGACGCGCCCAAGTTTAGTCTTGGATGTTCTTCACTCTAGCCCTTGCCCTGGTGGGCTGCTGTAGCGTGTTAAGGGTGGCATCGAAATAGATGTACATCAAAGGAATAAGGCTAACCAGTGAGAGGCACTTTCGAGGAGAGGAGAACCGATTGTCATCAGTTTGTGGCGTCGACTTACCGGCAGGATTACTTCCCTAAGTTGTTGCGAAAGCTCCTATCATACTTAGAAATGCAAAGTTTTCGTCCGGAAGCCTGGTCTCCCTTTCCTCTGTAGAACCAAGCAGTTCCATGGATTATTTGGACCAACCAGCGTCTTCTCGCTCATTTCCATACTCAGTAACGCTGGCTGCATGAAACTCCATCCGCTTTCGGCTGAAGGTTGGAAGCCATCATCTTCTTGACCATGGTGGGTTTTCTCCTGCTCGCGGGCCTCGAAAAGATCCGCTACGAAATCATGTATGACCGGAGGAACGCGGAGGCTTTTGCAAGTAGCTTCGAAATGATATCAGGGTCGGTAAAGAGCCCGGAAAGATGACCGTCCTGATAATGAACAACGCGATTCTCCGATGTTCCGCACTTCTGAAGGGGCAGCAGCAGAAGGAGTTCGTAAGGCGTGGCTTGGCATCCTAGTGTTTGCGTATTTGGCTAACGTGGCACTGTGTACCATAGCGCTGACGTCCTCTGTCCCGCGCAGTTTTGCTTAAGAAATGGAAACGCCGATCGCATCGATAGCGCTTCGTACGGGGGCGGAATCATCGCATTGGGGAAACACGACACCGTCACCTTCGCTGAGTGTATTGCAATATTCCAGGCGGGACATTCTCATGGGCAAGTCTTCAGCTCTTCAGCTTCGGCCCAAACATCGCCCAGGCCAAGGCTTCGGAAAACTCGATATCCGAAGAGGGGAACATACCAGGTGCGATGACAAAGGAGAAAGGAACTGAAAATTTAGACTCTGCCGATCGCGGCTTGACGGCAGATCTGGTGTTTCAGGGCGTTGCCTTCGAGCCTTTTGGCTCCATGACGCCCACCTTTGTCCACTCGAACCTGACAATTGCAAGTGGGTCGTTTGTGCCTCTGCGGATGCTTCCCGCGGCGGCAAGTCCACAATTAATTTGTTGCTGGAACCATTCGAAGAGCCAATCTCGGGGACCATCCTCTTAGGGTGACGCAAAAACGCCGTATCAAGTTGGCATATAACCATCGAGTTCCGCCTTTAGTCACCCATGGCCCCAGATATTTGCTGGAACCATCAGACATAGCTCCCTGCCTGGCCTAGAACATTAAACACATTCAGCGGGGATTCTAGTCACGAAATGACGCAAGTGTGTGAAGACACAAATTTCATCTATCCAGCACATGGCTGTCAGCTGGCTATCCGACTGTGCTGGGGACTGTTACGCATACTGCATTTGTCGGCAGCCATAAGCGGCAGTCAGAAGCAGCTTGAACTGTGGATCAGTGTATCGTGCGTGTCTTGCTACGCAAACTTCACTGCTGATTCTGGATGCAACCGCCTCAGGTCTACACTCACATCTGAAAAAAGTTGGCCAGGGAGCATCTGGCTTCCAATCGTGATTTGCCAGTGATCGTTGGGGCACACCAATTAGCGACAACCCAAAAGAAAGTCATGATCTTCGGTCTCGGCGAGAGCTGTGCTAGCCGGGGTTCTCATGTTCTGGAGAAGGGATATCGTCATGACTTGCTGCACAAAAAAGGGTATTTACTGGTTGATGGTAAGAGTAGCCTTTTCGACCGTTATTGCGATACAACACGGGGAAGCCGGTTTACTAAATGGCCGGTCATTGGCAGTGTCCAAAACAACTTGGCGATTGATCCAGTAGTAACTTTATCATGGCATGTAGTCATAAATAGGTAGTTAGTAGTGTTTTGGAACCGAATGAGGCGGACAAGGTGAATAGTGGATATATATAATGGGCCAGCTAAGATGGGATGAGTAGTACAAATCTTCATCACCATGATAGAATAGTTCGAATTACGTATGGAAGCTGGTTTATGCCTGAAGCCCACACATGGATGTATGAAACAGTGATATAACCGGATTGGAGGGAGGAAGTGGGCGGATTAGAAAGGCGGTACGCGAGTTTCTGCCGCTGCTTGTGAGTAACACTTGCGGTAGGCGGTAAGCAGTTCCTCTGCTTACCTTTCTCTGGTCTCTTTCTTTCTTTTCCCCATGTTCCTCCATCCGTCTATACTTCCTTTCTGGGTTCATAGTCAAAAGCCTATATAGTGTCGAAGTACCTTCCAATTTCGGTCCCTGCCATAATATAAGGCGTCCAAGCATCCAACCCTTGAGCATCTTTCAAGGTTTCGGCACGTAAGGCCGCTCCATCATTGCCGGGGAGGGGATGGGGAGCCCATTCCATTGGCGCATAGCCTGGTGGACCGGCGCAACATATTACCAAGTTAGGAATTAGGAATCAGTCCAGGCCGTACTATCGAGTGCAACGACCGCGAAGATCGTCTCAGATGGGACACTTCGAGAAGAACACGGAGATCTGCCCTCTTTTGCGCCCCAGGCTATCATGGGATTGGCCCTGCTATGGTAAAGGTCAACTATGGTACGTGGGATTTTTGATTTAGCCTAGAGAGTATTCACACACGGTGGGATTGTGTTTGTGCCTCGGACGGACATTATTTGACGGAATTTCGGGGTAGACGTTAGTGAGACACGATGTTGGAGGACTGGTCTCCTATGACAAATTCCTTGACCATGAGGACAAAACAAATCAGCCACTACGAATCCTTGGATTTTTGGACTTTATGTCTTAACAATCTCCTGTACGGCTTGGGTCCCTCTATCGGCCGACATCCGTTCTAGACCATTTAGCTTTTGGAGTCCCATCGTTGTTCGGAATAGGTGGGCCATAAACCTTATTGTGCTTCTCAAACTCCAATCAACTCGTCCGCTTGTCTCCAACGGTTCCTGTGTGGGCTCCGGATACCTCATCCAGCTGTCACCACACAGATAACTCGACCCGAAGCTTTCAAGACAGGGCTGCCCTGCATGACCCTAAACCTTGGTTTATGGCTCCGTCAGGCAGCTTGGTTCTATTTCTGTCTCACGGAAAGCTTACAAGAAACAGTTCGCAGTCCCCTGACGGGCGCGTGAAATGTGAATTGTGTCAAGGTACTGCGACTAGGCATCATTATACAACTCTCTTCCTGACCACGATTTCATGACGAGTATTGGGTCACTGCGAAGCTGTGACGCATTCTCCATTCACACATGAGGACATGATGGAGAAACTGTAGGACGAGTCTGTAACATGGCCATGGATGCTACCGGTGTACATGGATCTGGCTAATCGAAATTTTAAGTATGGATGGATTGGCAATAAGACTTCCATAAAGAAACAATGCAGATGTTGGAGTAGCTTACCCGGAAAGAGAAGCGGTTGTGGGTTTGGTGTTGGTAAGATGTTAGTCACCTCTGAGTGAAGGCACGAAACACGGGGCGTTTCCCTTCCCTGCACCTTCATTGCTTTGATCTAGTTTCAGGCTGGTGGATCGTCCCGATCGTATCGTGCAGTTCTCTACCGCCGCCGTTTCAGCGCGGAACCACTCCGAGCTATCATAATTCATAGCCCAGGGTCCAAGAGGTTGATTCTGCACCATGCTATCTGTATCGCTCATGTGTGATTCGTCGTCATCATCACGGCCTCACGCCCAAGTACCACCGTAATGGCCTAAGTGGCCTAAGTGATAGGCTCTGATCTGCGCCGCTACGAGTGAACCGGGTGCCCACCATAGCTTTAGCCCTGAAAGAGAACTCCTTCGACATCTGGGGCGTTCCTATAAGATGACGAGAGGAGCTAGATAACTGGACATTAGTCGACAAGGACATTAGTCGACAATCAGTTCTTCTTCTGCCCGGTGCCATCTGACCAGCTACCACCCGCAAAAATGCCACTGGAAGCACGTAGCGAGGTTCTTGTGGCTGTTTCTGTAGTGGTCATGGCTATATCGCTTCTGACAGTATCCTTTCGATGCTTCGTGCGATGGCGGATGCTCAAAGCATTTGGATGGGACGATACATTGATGGTTCTTGCAATGGTGAGAAACCCCCTCGAGTTTTCCGTTTTCCCCGATCCAACCAGAATGGGTTGATATCTAAGCCAAAGCTCTTCGGATGATGAATCGTTAACATGTTTCCAAGGCCCTTGATATTGTGCTTACCGCGTGCGCAATCGCTGGTGCCAAGGATGGCGTTGGCCGACATTTGAGTAATTTCCACAGCTTCGATGAATTTCACCATGCCATGCTAGTACGTGAAGAAGAGTCATTAAATCCCCAAACATACTGTTGAGATACTGAATGGCCTGTCTAGTGGTGGTGGCTGGGCCAGTGCATCTATATCTGGGCGTCCGGCATCGCTAAAGTATCCATTGCGCTCGCACTCCTCCGACTGTCGGTTCACACGTACCAGCGCATAACCCTGTGGATCGTTATGGGAGCATCGATTTGTGTCAGCTTGGTGTTCTGGTTCTTTATGCTTTTTCAGTGCCATCCTGTCTCAAAATTTTGGGAGCGGACAGGACCGGGCAATTGCATGAACACCGATACGCTGATTAGGGTGGCGTACGTTTACAGTGGAATCTGCGCCGTCTGTGACTTTGCGCTGGGACTTCTGCCCATTGATCTCGTTCGCCAGCTGCAAACCACTCTCAAGACAAAGATAGCGCTGGGCGCGACCCTGAGTCTAGGTTGTGTGTACGTAAATCCACCGATGCTGTTGGTACAGCAGCTAACATGTGGCGTGTCCAGGGCGAGTACGGCTGTTATTCTTCGGATACCTTGCCTGCATTTCTACAAGGATATCGATTTCTTGTGTAAGTGCCATGCCTCATGACCCCCCTTTAATTCATTATACCTACTGCGATAATCCATGTTTTGTTTGTTGTTGCTCCTTTCAAGTCAAACATGGCCAAGACGGCTAAGTCTTCTCAATCTACATGTGTGACAGATTCGACCTTTTCCATCGACATCTGGTCCTTTATCGAGGTTGGCTTGGGAATTACAGCAGGTAGTCTGGTCACTCTCCGACCTCTCTTTCGTGCAGTTCTCGGGGACCCACCTGACCGCAAGGGCAAGAAAAGCCGTGGAAGCATGCCACTGACCAGCTTCACGGAGTATACGCGGACCCGGCCTGACCCTGAAGATGCCGCCGTGTGGCAATCGCCCCAGCCTGATACAACGCGGAACATAACCACCACGGTGGTTTCAGCTTTCCGGGCGAGTTTAAATAGTCCCCTCACGCCAACGTTTGCGGCCGAGTTCAAGAAGGGTCGGTCTGTTCGGATCAAGAGGTCATTCCATGTCACAGAAGAACATGTGGGCTACTGAACGGGGAGAAGTTTGCCCTTTATAGAGTATATAATGACACTAAAATGATCTTGTGGAAAATATTATTTGAGCGACTGTCAAGCGTAGAGAGAAGAGGGAAGCGAGGGAAGAGTGGAAACAGAGAGAGAGAGAGAGAAAGAGAAAGCTGGACGCTGACGGCTGACCGGTTGGCCTTATTTGCACAGGCTCAATGGGCACCTGACCCTGTTTGCCTTCTACAGTACTAGTAAGTAGTGAGTACCTAAGTAATAACAGTCCTCCTATACTACTATTAGTAATACTGTCTTCTCTGGTCAAGCTTCCTCTTGCCAGCTATTCGTCTAAGCAACACAATCTAATCTACTATCTCCTCTACCTTAAACCATCCAAATTAAATCTATATGTGCATTGCAGGCTAACCTAGAGGGGAATGAGAAAGGAGGTCATAATTGCATTCTACCAGCTACACAATGAGACTGATAGAAACCAACATCTTCACGTCCGAGAAACACAAGATGAATGCCCCTCCTGTCAAGGTAGCCCCCTTCACACCTCCGAGTGGCTTATTATTACACTAAAGTTCACTTCAGGCAAGCTTCCAACACCACCATGGGCACTCCGGGTGCCTTGTATACGTTGGCCAGTTGCAACCCCGCTAGATCGAAGAGGTGCGCAAAATCCTTCACCGTCCGTTCTCTCCCACCAAACGTCATCATGGTCAAGTCCATATACGCGTTAGTTGCGGTCGCGCCCACTTCAGGGATGATCGTCTCCGTGATGAGAATTCGCGACCGCTCCCGATCCATCGCGACCGCCAGCTGTGCGAGGACCTGACGAACCTCCTCATCGGGCCAGTCATGCAGCACGCGACGCACAAAGTACACGAGGGCGCCTGATACATATGATCAATGTGTCATTCAGACCGATAGTGGGGCTGTGGGAATGGTGGGGACGGCTTACCCTGCACAGGTTGAGGGTTGAAGAAATCATGCGCCATCGGCTCAATTCCGTGAGCCTCCATCTCCGGACCATTATCAGTAATGACACTCTCACGATCCTGCAGGATATACCGCCCGGGGACTCCTGCCAAGCTCTCCTTGAGCTGACGAAGAATATGCCCGCGACCCCCGCCAACATCCACGATAGTGGCAGTGTCTGGCTGTGCAAGTGGCCCCAGCGTAGACTTGAAGGGATATAGACCAATCTCCGCCAGGAGAGAATCCTCCGCTACCATGGCATCATTCAGCCGGGTTGCACGGGCCGGGCTCTGTGAAACGTACTCAAACATGGTCTGTCCATCGCAGCCATGCACGAAAGTGAAGGGATTGCGGCGCAGTTCGATGCGATGCTGCCAGCCCTGCTGCACGAAATATTCATGACCCCGCAGCATCGCGGGTGAGTACTCGTCGACCCTGTTCCAGCAGGTGGCTCTAGTTAGCCGTCGGACATGTTTCAAGACCCAGAGAAGGGGGTTGCCGCCGCACTTACATTAGACTAAAAACCGCCCGCATCTGGGGTGCCAGCAGGATTTCCGACTCGGCGGTGTGGGCATACAATTCCTCCCCTGTCTCGCGAAAGGGTCCCAATGGAGTCAGGGCGCGCATATGGCGTACTGGAACCAGGTCAGTTCAATTAGGCAATGACAGGGAATCCCCCGGCAACGCCGACCGGGGGTATCCAGGAACCCAAGGATGGCCTACCGATAAGTTCTTTGTCGACCCCTGTTGTGGCGGCGATTTCCGAGGCCGAGATGCTCTGTCCACCGGTCGGGATGGCATCCAACACCCCGGCTTCCAACAGGGTCCGGATTGCGCCTATTCGAACCATCTAGCATAGCGTGCCATAGTGTATCGTTAGCCTACATGGTGTATTCCAGATTGACCGATGATGGCTGGGGTTAACCTGGTGCATACATGTTCAAAGTTGGCAAAGACGAGGTCGGCCGGGCCCCGAACAGCATTGACCAAGCGAGTGGCCCGAGCCATCAACTGGTAGCGAGCATCCTGACTATTCGGAGTGGTCGCTTGACTGCGATACTGGTCGACCGCGGCCGTGACCTCGGCCAGACACTGCTGAATCTGCTCAAGATTGGGATCAAACTGCGCCATTGGTAAGAAGTATAGACAAGGGTATGTAACCGGGGTCCCTGGTAGTAAGTATGGAACCACTCCGTTGGGAATGACCAGGGCGACCTACCTATTATACTTGTCACACTTGGCTCCAGCATCAGGGGGAACATTGAGATCTTGCCAGGTTGATTGGCGGGAAGCGAGTGGATAGGCAACGCGACCTGCAGCGATAGCGCCAGACGGCGTCCAGGCAGCGCCGGTGCGCCATAAGCCGATACGTCCAGCTTCCTCAGCCAAGTCGGGGAAACAGCCGACAGGAATACGAGGTGACCCTCCAATAGGTACGACAAAATCCGGATTCAAGGTAGAGACGAAGGATCATGGTTGGTGGACGAGCCTCTGTACTTTGCTGTGGATGGACCAGGGCCAGGGCCTGTGCTCGCCTCACACACATTCCGTTCGACCACTGTTCTCCCCCATCATCCCGGATAGCAGCTCGACGAGACTAGATATATTCCAAACCCACTCAACTCACTTCCTCCGCCGATCATCCGTTCACCCCCTCACATTCCCACCTCAGCTGAATTTCCCCTCCTTGTTCGGCTCCACCAAATTATGTACGACCGTCGAACCAGTCAGCCTGGCTTTGTGATATCTCCCGGCAGGTTCTTGGGGCAACCCCAGGGTCTTCGAACCTGTCATGTTCCGCCCAGATTTCCATCCACCCCTGCATCTGACAGATGCAACAGATGCGCATCCGGGATCACTGACAATGCCCCTGACAGGGATAATCGGACCACTATATCCCAGACTAGCCTCGTTGTCACACGATCCAGGCACACAGGAAGCTTTCTCCCATATCCTTTCCAACCAGACAGGGAAGTTTGATGGCCAGTGGCGTCTCCTCAATGGGATAGTGACGGCAATTTTCTGTTCCCCGGAGATCGCAAACTATACGATGCAGGTGAGAATGGTCTCTCGGTAGTCGCTCCGGCCTGCATACGAACGAGTCCATTCCTCCGCGCCCGAGCCAGGGAAAGTTGGAGGGCACCATGAACAAGAAGGATAAGTAGCGAGGTGACGGCCAGCGTCTTTTGCAATCTTCCTCTCTCACGGACGCGCAAAGACAAGCCTCTCCCATCATGCCGTCGGTCGACCTCAACCAGATCCCCGCCTCTCCGCCCCCCGATGGCGTGACGCCCAACTTTGTGAACCCACCGAACCAGAACTATCAGATCTATTCTATCAATATCGCCCTCTGCCTCACAGGCACGGCGGTCTTGATCCTCCGCTTGTACACCCGTGGTAAGCTCCAGAAGACCATCGGAGTTGATGATTGTGAGTGCCCATCCCGAACATATCATGAGGACACCCTACTGATGGGCTCGCAGGGTTTTGTATCTGGGCGCAAGTTTGTGCGTGGTTGTTTGCCATCTTGTGCATGCTCAGTACGTATCAAGACTAAGATGTACGGTAAAGGCATTACTAATATGGGCAGATATCAGAAACGGATATGGGGTCCACATTTGGGATTTATACCTCAGTGAGATCAAGCCTTTCAAGCAGGTACGTTTCACAGGCGTGCCCCACACATAGCGGGCCGCAATTAATAATTGCAGTATGATCTTGCGGCCGAGGACATCTTCGTTGTCGGAATCTGGCTGGTCAAAACGTCCATCTTGTTGTTCTACCTGCGGTTGAGCCCCGAAAAGCGGTTCCGGCAAATGACATACGGCATCATGGTCTTCGTTGCCTTGTACAATATCATCAGTTTGCTGGTCTTTACCCTTGGCTGTATACCGGTGCAGGCTAGTTGGGATGTGACCTTGATGCCGACAGCCAAATGTGTTGACCAACTCTCCTTTGTCTATGCCAATGCGGCTTTCAACCTGTTCTCCGATCTTATCACCTTGGCACTACCCATTCGACTCTGCTGGTCTCTTCAGACTACTCTCAAGCAGCGGGTGCTATTGATGATAGTGCTGATGATGGGTTCCTTGTAAGTGTCTCACGTATGGTCATCACTCTCCCTAGTTAAGCTAATATGGTGATTTCGTAAACAGCGCGTGTGTGATTGCAATCATCCGGATTGTGACCATGATGCCCTTTGTCTCTAGTATGGATCTTACCTGGTACAAGGTGACTTTAGCCAAGTGGGCGTAAGTAATCGTGCCTTTTCGACCCTCATTTGGGCACTCAACTGACACGTAAACACAGAATGGTGGAGATCAACGTGGGTATCATCTGTTCGTGCCTGCCGGTGATGCGGCCTCTACTCATCCGGTTCTTCCCCACTGTTTTTGGCAGCCATGCCAGCAGTGGAGTCAGGCCCATCCGCCCTGCCGATGCCAAGGATACATTCGGTGCGGCGCGCAAGAAGGTCATTCGCAACTGGGACTACCTCAGTACGATCAAAGGAACCAACGCGGGTGAGAGTACCCAGGATATTGAGAGTCTCCACGAGGAGACTAAGCAAGAGAATGGCAATTCCGAGCCGGCTATCATGATGGCGACCGAGTATTCGGTGACCTGCAAGCGGCGGTCGGAATAAATGATCAATTAAAATGGCTTTTCGTCTTGAAAAGTGCTCAACCATTTTCGAGGAGAAGGCGTCAATAATGGGATCCGAATCACAGAGACCTGTCTTGGGCAGACATGCTTGAATGGGGATCTCATCATAGGGGCGGCTGGCTGTATCTGCTATCCACTAAATTAATCTGAAGGGCCAGACCCGGCTCACTACTACATACACTAATAATCAAACGTTGATATTATTTATTTAGTTGTAAAGGATAGCAGTCGGTGGCACTCAATTGACGGAAACAATTGCAACTGCTACAGTTTGTATTCAGGAAATGGTAAAGCGCACGACTCTCAAAGCCGACAAAAATATCAGCAGGCCAAGAAACGATGGTAAGAGGTAAAGGAAAAGCCGGGTTTTATAAATTTTCT